GAGATGAACCGTTTGCAGGTGTAACAAAATATAATACTGGTGATGGATCAATGCCTCACTCAGTTGCTGTTGCCGATTTCAACAATGATGGTTGGTCAGATGTTATTGTAGCTAATTATGGTACTGATAATGTTGGTGTTTTTCTTGGATACGGTACTAAAGGTTTTGATAGCATGATAACATTTTCAACCGGAGTTAATTCAGCACCATATAGTCTTGCTATTGGTCATTTCAACGATGACAATCATTTGGATATTGTTGTTACCAATTCTCAAACTGATAATGTTGTTATTCTTTTTGGCTTTAGCAATGGAACGTTTACTATTGGAGTGATATATTCAACTGGAGCACGATCACAGCCGTCCGCAGTAGCTGTAGGGGATTTGAACAACGATAACATATCAGATATAGTCATTGTGAACTTCGGCACCAATATTTTACTTATTCTTTATGGATACGGAAACGGGGTTTTTGGAAACAACACATTGTATCAATTAGGCTATGAATATCATCCTACTTCGGTTGTTCTTGCCGATTTGAATAATGACAATTGGACGGACATTGCCATTGCATGTTATAACGCAGGTCACCTAGAAATTCTAGTGAAGATGTGCTAGTTTAGGTATGTTTCAGTGTCCATTTCATTTGTTCTTTTCTTCTTTCATATTTATCTTATGTTTTTGTATAATATCTGTATCTACAATTCAGTTTCTAATGATCATATCATACTCATCATAAAGTAACTTAACATATATTTTTACAATCACTTTTAGCTTATTCGAAGGAATAGATCAGAAGATTCATCTACATCAGAAGACGTATAATTGATATTATTATTTTGAATCACTGTAAATGCTTGAGATAAAAATGGTACACACTTGAAGGTGTGGATGTGAGTGTGGACGGTGCCAGTGTGAGTTAAAAGAAAATCAAAATTCTCACAGACACCTATACCCATGCTAGTGTGGGTGCGGATGTAGATGCTACTATTCTCTTCAACAACACCCACGTGTATACTCCCATCCTTCACAACAAGTATCAGCAAAAAGATATAAGAAATTACATCTTTTGTCTTTTTTTTTATCTATACCTTTATCCGTTCCTCTACTATATCTATTCAATATAGACTGTCGCGATATCTGTATGCAAGTGATAAACTTTTCAGTTAAGAATATGTGTTCAATATTTTTTCTTTTTACTGGTTTTATATGCATGACATTATATGCAAGTTCTAGTGGTCTTATCGTCGATCCTTCGTCTACTGCTGAAATTTTTTTTTTTGTAAATGTTTATATTCAAGCCTTTCTTGTTTTTGTTTTGATATTTATCAACTATATTCTACACTGTTGTATATTTACTGGTCTTAACCTAAAATATATAATGCAAGACATCAAGAGTGTAAGTGTGGGTCTTTGGTTGTGGGATGTAGATGATAAGAAAAGTAACAATCACACCAACACTTACACGCACACTCACACCCATCCAAAATGTATGTTCTAATCATCTCCAAAAAAAAGTCATCCCACTAATATAGTAGACATTCATTTACCTGAATCATTAAGACAAAGTCTTAATCAAGAGAGCTTGTCTATTGCTCCACTGTTAGTGCTGTTCGACTCGTAAGAACCGAAAGCCATCATATTGACGTGAATTTGGTATCACTTCTTGTCAAGAAATGATCCCTCAAATGACCAGACACTTTCATCCAGTTTTCTTAGAACAAAACACAATTATCTGAAATTTTGTATGCGTGAACGGCAGGTATTCCGCATAAAAATACCCGTGCGAAATAACAAAATCCATCCTGTGCTCATCGAGTTCGGACACATTGTTTAGATGGTAGCATCTGCAAATACTTGGTTCAATCGCTGACCAGATCGAATTTAATGTAGTTCGACGTCTCATAGCAATAATTACATGTTGGAGAAAATCGCAGATCGATAGGTGCAAGTGTCGCAAAAAATATCCAAAAAATAGTAGAATCTATTTAAAGTCTGGCGTCGGCAATGGTATTTTTAAGCGTAGAGTAATTGAAGCAAATTGTTGATGACGAACGACAGTTGATGTTTATCATTCGAGTTTGTATTACATTGTTGTAAAGAAAAATTTAATGCTGGTTGCCATGCCGAATGAGGCGATGAAGACAATGTAAATGAAACAGTATCATTGTTTTCATTACAATAGTAATTAGATGCTACCTTAATTTGATCCAAATATATTTTACACTATGAAACAATGAAATAAGTCGAAAAAAAAATGAGAAAGACTTGCACACATGAAAAAAAAGACGTTGAAAAACAGAGTTATTACAAATCGCATGTTCTCTATGTAATGGACGACCGAAAGAAGTGTTCAAAATGAATTTCTTTTTACTCTGCTCTGTAATAAAATACCGTCTAACTTTTCCGTTCAAGTTGAAGAAAATAAAAATTATTCTTTCAATGTTGATTTATTCTCTTAAAATAAAACAAACAGCCAGTACAATAATATTAACAAAATCTGTCTATGAAGTTGACTCACTATAAAAATGATTGTATCATATCGTCATGCTTTTCACATTTTCATCGAGTCACTTGCATCTGTTTTGCTTTCTTCTTTGAAATAGACTTTTTTTTTTAATACGTTATCGTTTGTTTAGAATAGATTCCCGTTGCAGGAAAACCTCGATTATTTCGCAATTTTTTTTATTGTACAACTTGGATAGAGCAAAGGTAGAAATACTAGGTTATTTTGAATGGCTTTTCCCATTGTCAGATCGTATAAAAAGCACTCCAGTTTATTTTCCATGGCGCTCATATATATTTTCCAAGAGGATGGTGAGTGTAAGTTTACATCGAGATTTTTGCGACTGTTCTTCTTTGAATAGAATGTTTTCGTTGAAGGTTAGTTCGATTCTTTTTCTGTCATCTGAACCTTTATGACTGATTTGTTTTCCTATTTGTCAACTTTTAATAATAGAATGTGTGTTAAACCCTCCTGAAAAGAATCATGTTCATTTCCAATAGAATCTATTTACATGACTCATTCTACTCAGTGGTTAATCGTATGTTTGATGCAAAATGGTTAAGCCTAACCATCAAATGTAGTCAATGGCTCACTTTTCAAATATTTAATGTGTGGTTTCTTGGTCAGGACTTCTCCCAACTTTTAGTCTTCTTGCAAACAATACATTCACAAATGATTAGATACTTTTTTGAATTTCCACAATATTGCTAGAGTTTCTATGACGAAAGATATCGCAAATAATGAAGTTATCGAAGATAAACAATAAATAGAATATGATGGAGGCAGCGGAGATATACAATCGTCTGACGCCATCACGTGGAGAAGTGCTTTGAAAATGTGAGGAAATCGGAGCGTCAGGGTTTCGTGACATCATTACGAAATCCAATGGTTGACCCTTTTTGGAAAAATTTTAGTAATGTTGGATGTGTCCGGTTTGCGTTTGATTGTGTTGACAGCTTGATGATGCAGTTTAGCGGATAGAAAAGTATATTGCTAATTGTATGCCACGACTACATGACTTAACTCTCTTGTTGAAATTGCTGCTTATATCTCCAAAATCTCGATTATCCTCTACATTTCCATAACCAAAAAATGAAATAGGGTTCTTGAAATTCATCAAAACCATTATACATACAGTTGAAACATTTATTGTTGTCTATAAAAAACTGATAGTTTGTATATGATATGTAAAGTAATCAATGCTTTACCCTAACGTAGAGAAATAATAATCATCCAATTTTTTTTCAAAATTCACCTAATCCACTACAACTAGCCAAAATAGGGTAAACAATCTCCACATGAACAAGCTTCATACTTCAAAAGTCAATTGATGTGTATGTTTTGTGTTGTCATCAACGTATGCACATGTATGAAAAAAAAAGCATACGATAAATGCATTTGAAGGTGATGTTTCCCCTTATTGCAGGATCTCCAGTATGTCAACAAGTGAATGATGTTGCTTCTATAAATTCTTATATTTTGATTATTCTTTCTCGTTTGATTAATCCGATTTTTCTCATTTTAGCTAATCTTTTTATATGAATATTTTGTCTAGATGTAACACTTAGATTTAATTGTATAAGATTATAATCAATCGATGAATTCAATTAGAATTAATGCAATAGCAAAGATATAGTTTTGAGTTCTAGTTTAATTCATTCTCAATACGGATATTTTCACTTATACTGGTTCACTAAAGAGAAATTTCTATTCATCTTAATTCAGTCGTTGAATCAAGAATTGCATCAGCATTGATACTGGTGCTTATATAAACATAGGTGCCTAGTGACAATGAGGTCTATTTTATTTTGAAAAAGTCTTATAAATTATATTCAAAATGGATACCCATCTTTGGGAAAGACATTTTCACTCATTAGTTCCATTCTTAGTCCAGTTTTTATTTACTTGATTAGTAAATAAGATAAAGAAGAATAGCTAAAAAACTCTGTTTTTAACTGATGTTCTCATATACCTCAACTATTCTTTGAAAAAAATGTACTTTAATAATAATCTTACGATAGATGGATTGAATAAAAATCATTTATTCGAATATATAAACAAACTTGCTATTGCACACATTAAGAACAAGAAATTGCCGCCTTTCTTCAACTGGAAAGGAAAACCTCTGAAAATTTATAAGTAACAAGTCAAATTTCACTTGATCAATATTTGTTGAAGTATTGATAGAACACTCATTATTGATATAAAGAAGATCAAATTTTTGAACGAAAGATGAATTGGAAATTTAATGAAACAGTTTCAACAGATTAATATCGTTATATGAACTGAGGGTTTCTTTTTACAATAAGCTTAACACACCTAAACATAAAATCAAAAATAGTTTGATATTTTAAAACGTCTTCTTCAGTGTTTCACAATCTAACAAAAACAATCGAAAGAAACTATTCATTGTCGTTGAAATCTGATAGTTCTCTTTATGAAATTATTGTTTGGATGCTAAATCACATATATGCCTGTAAACATAACGTTATTGATTATTGATTTATTTGAGATGATTCATATAATTCTGAAGTATTTAGACCAATACTATCAAGCCCACCAGCAACAAACACGTTTCCATTTTTTAATACGGATGCTGAGTGACTTCCTCGTGCATAATTCATATGACTAGTCATTTGCCAAGTTCCTGTTGATGGATCATACAATTCAGTACTATTCATAGCAGAAAAAGCATCATATCCACCAGTAACTAACACTTTTCCATTTGGTAATACGGATGCTGTATGCGAAAATCGTCCAATATTCATACTACCAGTCATTCTCCAAATATCTGTTGATGGATCATACAATTCAACAGTATTGAGAGCAACACTACCATTCCATCCACCAGTAACTAACACTTTTCCATTTAATAATACAGATGCTGTGTGCCGTTCTCGTGCAGCACGCATACTATCAGCCATTGTCCAATTTCCTGTTGATGGATCATATAATACAGCACCATAGAAAAAAAAATAATCACCTGCCAATCCACCAGTAACTAAAACTTTCCCATTTGTTAATACGGACGCTGTGTGTCGATATCGATGATGATACATACTGTCAGTCAGTGTCCAAGTTCCTGTTGACGGATCATACAACTCAGCACTCTCTAGAGCAGTACCAGCATACAATCCACCAGTAACTAACACGTTTCCATTTTTTAATATGGATGCTGTGTGCCACTGTCGTGCATTATTCATACTGGCAGCCGCTGTCCAAATTCCTGTTGATGGATCATACAGTTCAGTACTATTTATAGCTGAACGACCATTCCGGCCACCAGTAACTAACACTTTTCCATTTGTTAATATGGATGCTGTGTGCGCAAATCGTGCATTACTCATACTACCAGTTATTGACCAAGTTTCCATTGATGGATCATACAATTCAGTAGCATTTAGGTCAAAGCCAACATCATATTCTCCACCAATAACTAACACTTTTCCATTTGGTAATACGGATGCTGTATGCGAAAATCGTTCATTATTCATACTACCAGTGTTACGCCATACTAAAAGAACCAATTAAAAATACTTAACTGAAAAGTGAAGTATCATTGAATACACAAGGTTTCTTATATGTAAGTGAAGTGTTTTAAAGTATTGTACAAAGATGAATTTTTTCCTTACTTTAAGTGAAAAAACCTTTAACATTCTATATAGCAAAGCAAAATTTCAAGTTTGTTGCATGAAATTCTTGATCTTATGGTAGGATAAAGTGTGATAGTTTTGCATTTTCGTCAATACTCTTTCTATATAGATGATTACTAAAAGTTCTCACTTTGAAGCAGTCAATATATCACTCATATTGATTATTCTAGTTTTCGGTTGTGTACAATCTTAGGTAGCAATGATCGAAGAATCTAAATGTGTCGAAAAATATGAATGGTTCCTCGATTTCTTCACAGTTCTCTGAGTCTCAAGTTCAAAATAGTATATTGTTCAAGATATATGTCATGCTCATATCTGCTCAGAGTACTCAATTCTGCTGAGAAGTAGAAACGCTTCCATTTCAAATACAATCAATCATTGTCTTTTGAATGACAGAATCATCTTTCTCCACATTTAATTTGTGACTCTGTCCATCGATGAGTGACTGATTGCAGGTTGACTCGAGCATCGATTAAATCAGTTTTAATACAAGTGTGATTTAAGATTTTTAAATGTTAGAGGCAGTGAATGATGCTAAGAAACCTATAGAACTGAAGATTGATTAAAAGAAATTTGGCTTCCAAGAATCTTTTTCAATCAATCATATATGAATAGACGAAAGGTTCATAACAGTTTGAAACGAGATGTCTGATTGGATACTCGTAAATGATTTTTTTCTTAACCTAATCTCATCTATATGAAAATCTTGCCAATTGAGATCTGATTGAGATGTCACTGTGGGTGACAGTCTTCTGTTCGCCCACAGCTCTGATGCACAAGAGGCTGATGCTAAGAAAATGTAGATGAAAAACAGATTCTTCGATGATCGTATCTCACCCGTCGGCTCTGTAGCAGTAGTAGTGACTGTCGAAGTAGTGTCCGTTGTTATTGTTCTTTTTGTGGTTGTCACTGTCGATGTGATGATCGTCGTTGTTTCTGTGATTGCCAAAGTCACAGTGATCGTTGTCGGAACGCTAGACGAATTAATGGGCGAAGAAGTAGTTGAGGATTTTGTTGTCGGTCGAGTTAAGAGAACGATCGGAACAATGACAGCAGTCGCCACAATTATGATTAGAAGTAGAGCAAGAAGAGCTTTCGTCAGGGGACCTAGTTTTCTGTATTGACAATAAACTATGAAAATGATTTTCTTTAGCTTCATTATACGAACTTGCAGCTCGTTTCTGTCACTAAAGCAGAGTGATCTACATTGAATTTCTCCCATTTTGACGTTGACATAGTTGCACTCTTCGAGCCAAATTGATTGGGCAGTGTATCAGCCGTTTTATCAAGTTTGAATGGTTAACAATGAAATAGTTGATAAATGAATAACTATAGAATGCAGAAAAAAAGTCAATTATATAGTAAGTTTAGAGGCATAGTCCGAGAGTTTGTCATTATCTGTTGCAACTCACACGTGCTGTAACTAAGTGAGATAAAGAGCTCTTTTTCTTTTTAATCAATGACGCCATAAACACACAGATAAAATGAAACTCTTCGGTTCGTTGTCAGATATAAAAGAAAAGCGTTCTTTGTTACCTTTTATTGTTTTTCTTTCTGTTTACAATTCATATGTTCTGAACCGTTCTCAGGTAAATTCATAATTGCCTTATGCGTCAAATAAATACTCATCACTTTGAATCCTGAAGCGAAGAGTGTAAGTGTAGGTGAATAAGAATGTAGGCAAGACTCGTACGAATAACCATCCACGTCTACTCACACTCGAACATCTTATTTTCTCATCGCCGTTGAATATTTCGCTTAAAAATGTGGAAATAAAGGCTGTGAGCACATAGAATAACATCATAACTTGTGAGGATACATTTTGTGCACTTAGATGAATGTTTCCCAAAGCATTGTTTTGAATTTGTCTACTCCAATGAGTTTGTGTTGTAGAAAAATACAAACGATAGACAACAACGAATAGTTGAAACGAATATTGAACGAATTCAAGAGTGAATTACATACAAAAATTTTATTAAATTTTGTTAAGATCATAAGTGACACCATTAATGACCCTCGTATGATAAATTGAATATATTGTCGGGATTGAGATCATGTTGTAAGCTTTGTGATTGAACTTAGAAGAATGTAATAGATTTTTCTGTTTTCTCTGTGTCATCTCGTATTCACATTTGCAGCTGATGTACATAGGAGTATGGATGTTACTGAACAAAAGAGTCACGGCTATACTCACCTAAACTCTAATGAGGCACTGAAGTTCAACATGCTCTTCCAAAATAATAACAAAAGCTTCTTTAATTACAATGATGCTCATTCGAGAAACCTAAGCTTTTTGAAATCAAACAAAAACTGAAAATTAGTTTCAACATGTAAGATTCAATATTTTGATGTATTTTACAAACATATCGTTCTGTTTTTTGAAGAGAACGCAGAAATGGGATCAGAAACACTCCAAAAATTATTGGATTGCCCAGTGATCATAGCCATCATAAAACTCGTACTTTAGACATATATGTACTCTACAATGTTAATTTTGACTACAAAGAATGATTATCGGTGATAGAGGGAGATAAGAGACTCAAAGAACCTAAACATATCAAGAGAATTAATAGTTTATCAGACACATTATATTGATTACTTCAAGCTCAAATTTTGAACTGTGAAAACATATGTTGATTTCATAATATCCATTTTGATAATAATTGCATTTTTTTGATTAAGAGTACCTTAAACTGGAGGAAGATACATGCATTATTAACCCTCGATTATGATGAGAAGACAGGATCTAATACTCACTTTATGTAAAATACACAATAGCATTTGTTTTTCATGAATGAAAACGTATACTATTTATTTGATAAAAATTTAATTTAAATTCTACGATTTGTGAGAGATTACATTAGAACTGTACATTCTAATTCTAAGAAAGAACAAAGCTAAAACAGCATTATGAGGGAAATAGTATCCGTTCTTATCCAACTTTTTTAATGATAAATATCGATGAAAACAGTTATGATTCTCTAGATTTTTATCAGTGAAAATACACTGAACAGTGATTAACGATCAATATACATTATACGAAGTTAGATAATATTTAAGCAAATGTTTTTTTCAACCAGAATGCTCTCTTTATATATATTAACAGAATAGGCAACACTTTAGCTTTTTTCCAAACACTGTTTCTAAAATCATCATGTCTCTCACATTCAGTGATCTATCAAATCTCTTTTCTATTTGAAATTTAACAAGGTATACAAAATAAAGATAAAAGTTAACACATTTTTTTATGTTGCATCAGTCTTACGTTCGAATCTAATTGAAAGTATTTTCCTAACATTAAAAAAATGACGGATTCGAATCATGTTCGAAAGATTTTGATTGATAGATTATTTGTCAAAGGTGTTGATATTTATATATTCCGTAATTTATATTCTTTTACTATACATTTATTCCATTCCATTAATAATCAGTTTTCTACTAATTTTAGAATGTGTGAATATTGGTGTGTCAAGATTTCATGGTATCGTTACCGAATCCGACGATTGAGGTCTTTAGAGAAATTTCGATAACGTGTTATGCATCCTGTTAGCGTTTGATTGTGTTGATAGCTTGTTTATCTATTTTAGGAGATTGAAAAGTATAGCACTAGTTATATACTTCGACTACATGAATTAACTTCTTTGTTGAGATTTTCTCATATACCTCCAAAAATTTGATTGCTTCATCTTTATAATTGGAACTTGGAGCAGAACTCTGGAGATTCATAGAAGGCATCATGTATATTTTTGTGTTATTTATTGTTGTCGATGATAAATTCATAATTAGTCAGTAATATCTGGATTTTAAAAATACTTTATTTAAACATAGAGAAATAATAAAATTTTGAATGTTTTCTAAAATTCAAAAGGTCGATTAAAACTAGTAAAAATAGCCCAAACAATCTGTATGGGAACAAACTTCTTACTAATAAACTCACTTGATACCTATGTTTTTTTGTAGTCTTCAATATATAAGTTTGAATTAGTGAACAATTTTGGTTGAAGACGACTGTTCTATCTTTGAAAAAGACATTATCACTCAATAGCTCAATTTTTAACCTAATTATCGTTCACGCAATTCGGATGTACATGGAGTTGTATGACTTCTAGTTCAAGTTTTCATAGGAAATAGATAATATTGGGTCATCGAAAACTCAAGTAAAATTAAATAGATAGCTGTAAAAGTTCAGCTCTTAGCTGATGCATTCATATATCATAACTACTCTTTTCAATAACTGCACTTGGTCAGGAAAGCAATAATCAATGAATTGAATAAAAATTCACTTACTCCGAATACAAAAATATGACTTGCCACTATACATTTAAGGAACAAGATATTCTATTCTTTATTCAATAGAAAAGAAGGAAATTGGATAATTTACATGAACAAAGTCGAAAAATTCACTCTGCTAATATAGTTCAAAGTATTGATAGGACATTCATTACTGATATAAACGACATCAAAATTTTGAACAAAAGATGAACCGAAAACTTAATGAAGCACTCTCAAAAGATCAAAATCATTACAAGAAGCTTGACAAACCAAAATATAGAAACATGATATTTTGATATTTCAAATCACATTCTAAAATGTACGACAATTTAACAAAGACATCGAGGACAACTATCCATTCTCAATTAAATCTAACATTTCTCTTGCCTTCAAACTATTGTTTGAGTACAAGATTGCATCTACTTGTAAACATAAGATTATCGATTGTTCATTTATTCGAGATAATTAATACAATTCAGAACTATTTATAGCAATACCCGAAAATCCACCCGAAACTAATACATGTCCATTTGTTAATATGGATGCTGTGTGTACATATCGTGCATAATTCATACTAACAATCGTTGTCCAAATTTCTGTTGATGTATCATACAACTCAACACTATTTAAATAATCACCAGAACTTTGCCCACCAGTAACTAAAACTTTTCCATTTGTTAATACGGATGCTGTATGTAAAAATCGTGTATCATTCATACTGCCACTTGTTGTCCAAGTTTCAGTTGATGGGTCATATAATTCAGCACTATTTAGAAAAGAAATACCAACTCCACCGGTAACTAACACATTCCCATTGATTAATACGGAAGCTGTGTGTGAATTTCGTGTCTCATTCATATTACCAGTCGTTGCCCAAGTCTCTGTTAATGGATCATATAACTCAGCACTATTTAAACGAGAACTACCATCATGTCCACCGGTAACTAATACTTTTCCATTTTTTAATACAGATGCTGTGTGTTGATATCGTGTATCATTCAGACTATCAGTCGTTGTCCAAGTTCCTGTCGATAAATCATACAAATCAGCAGTATTTAGAACAGAACTGCCACTATATCCACCAGTAACTAAGACTTTACCATTTGCTAATAAAGATGCTGTATGTGCTTCTCGTGCACTATTCATTTTACTTGTCATTGTCCAAGTTCCTGTTGATGGATCATACAACTCAGCACTATCTAGACGAGAAGTACCATCATATCCACCGGTAACTAATACTTTTCCATTTATTAATACAGATGCTGTATGCCATCTTCGTGCATTATTCATACTGCCTGTCATTGACCAAGTTTTTGTTGATGGATCATACAACTCAGCACTATTTAGAGCAGGATTATCATTCTGTCCACCAGTTACTAATACTTTTCCATTTGTTAATACAGATGCGGTGTGTAGATATCGTGCATCATTCATACTACCGGTGTTAAGCCATCCTAGAAAAATCATTTGAATATGTTCATGCTGAAAAGTGAAGTATTATCGGACACGCAAAATTATCTTTCTCTAAATGGAACAACTTTGAACATTCTACAGACTAAAATAAAGTTTTATCTTTTTGGTACGAATTTTTGTATTCTGTGGTGGAAACAAATGTGTAAGATTTCATAGCTTCTAAAAGATTTTTAATATAGATAATCGATAAAGATTTATGATTTGAATCAATCATTGTATCATATGTATGGATTAATATATTTTTCACTTGTGTACAAACTTAAGCTGAGAGTAGTAGAAAATCCAAGATGTATGTATGTTAGATTTACATGAAGATAAGCGGAATACTCCGGAGAAATGAATTCATCATTGCAAAAAGTATTTTAGACGATGCATTACTCGAGCTATTACAAATAATGAGACTGAGAGAATATCTCTCGTATGATCGAATCTCACCTGTTGTCTCTATTATAGTAGTAGTGACTGTCGAAGTGACGTCAATTGTTGATTTTGTGAATGTTGAAATAACGCCCACTGTTGTTGTTGTGACTGTCGAATTGACACCTATCGTTGATAGTATGGTCGACGAATTAATGGGCACCGAAATATTTGAAGATTGTGTTGTCGTTCGAGTCAAGAGAACGGTTGGGACAGTCACAGCGGTCGCCACAACCGCAATCACCAGTAGAACAAGAAGAGTTGTGGCCAGAGGACGTAGCTTTCTATATTGACAATTATCTATAACAACAGTTTTCTTTAACTTGGTTATACAAACTTGCCACTCTTTATTTTCACTTCATTAGAATCATCAACATTGAATTTCTCGTATGTTGAAGTTGGTGTTGGTATAGTCACACTCTTGGAATCTAATTGATCAGCCAATCTATCAGCCATGAATGTTAAAAAAAGGAAATAGTTGATAAGTGAGTAAGTATTGAATGCAGAAAAAATGCCAATTGTATAACAAGTAATGCACTATAGTTTCAAAGTATACTGTTATCTTTTGCAACTTACATGTGCTTTAACTTGGCGAGATAAAAAGCTTTCTATCTTTTTAACCAACAAGAATGAAGGCTTGCTCTTTAAATTCTTTTCAGTCAATACCGTCACAAAGACAAAGATAAAATAAAGTTTTTCAGTTTCTTATCAGATACAAAAGAAAAAAGTTCTTAGCTGCTTGTAAATATTTTGCTTTCTGTCCATAATTCATATGTTCTTACTCTGTCTCATACAAATTCATTATCTCATTGGGCGTCAAAGAAGTGTGGGTAGTCGCTCATCGTAGTTGAATGCTTCGTTTAAAGATATGAAAATAAAAACTATGAGCAAATACAATAATATCAAAACTCCTGAGAATACATTTTGTGCACTTAGATGAATGCTCTATCAAGCATTGTTCTGAAACTATCCACTCCGATAAGTTTGTGTTGTAGAAAAATATCAATGCTAAACATATTCATGTTTTTAAACAGAATACATGATAATTGTCGATTTGAAAGCTTTCACTCGATCAAATAAGATTGACATTGCGCTATTTCTGAGGTCCGTAGACCAAACAATGTTGTTGCATCAATAATAAACCATATAGCAGATGTCTGAATGATTGTGACAAATCAATGTATTCGACGTTCTAAGCATCAAGTTGACTTCCAATATGACTGCCGTGACATAGGTAAGACTTTTTCTTGAACTCTTTGATATTGTTGGAATCTCAGAACGACATTGCATAAAGAACAAAAGTAGAGCTTCGAGTTTCATTGTCGAAGCGAAAAGATGAGACAGTTTTTGTTACATTAAAATATTTATAAAATAGCAAAAATAAAGAAAGTTATAAAAAAAAATAGCATAAAATATATCGCTGTTGGTTACAGATAGACGGAAATATGTCATAAAGACTATTTTATTTAAATTTTTCTATTTATTCTCAATGATCAGTTGATTTCATTCATTTCATATTTATATTTTATGTTATCTGCTTAATTACCATGCACTGATATTGTTATTTTTCATGAATAGTAAGTTATTTCTATTAGACATTCAACATGCTTTTTTTATTTTTATCACATTTTCAATAAGTACCATTTCTCTCTCTCTGCATTATGTATATTTTCTGTTTGCTATTATGATAAAGATAAATAACGCGTCATTTTTCTTTTTGAATATATTTGTGCAAAAAAAAGAAATAATGATGAAAAAAGGGCTGATATTTCGTCTTCTACTATAAGTTCTACTTTCATTATTTTTTTTTCAAAAAAAAAGCCTGTATTATAAAGAGAAACTGACCCTGTTTTTTTTTTCTTAAGAAAGTTCCTGAGGCTACAAAATATCTATACAAGGTTTTTTTTGTGAGCATATCTAGATGTTACAAAAAAATCGATTTCTTTTTATTAGCGATATCATAGAATTCAAATATAAAAATAAGAAATTGTTCTTATAGGCAAATGAGAAGTTCAAAATCGATTCCAAACAATAAGATGATCGAACTTATTTATTTAAAAAAAACTTTTTATAGAGTTTCATATATTCTCTACTGACAGATACAAAAAAATGTGCTTTTTTTAGGAAGTGTAAAAAAAAGTCGATGAGCATGTTACTGTTATGTTTTGATGATAATTCTTTGTAGGAGCAAACTTCCAAAGAAATATCTGACAATCAAACGGTATGTTCTCTTAGCCATAAACACAAATTAAAACATATTGTTCAGAGTGGGAAATATTCGAGAAGTGTAGACTTTTGGTCACTGACTTTGATTCAAGAGATCCTTATAGATGTGTGCGTTACTTGTAGACAAGCTGTCTAGATGATGGTAAAACAAAACAAAAACATTGTTTCTGGACTTGATCAACTGAATCAGAGATATCCATCGCGGCTGAAAATCTGCCGCTGCCGCACCGCGGCCTTAGAAAAAAAAAGCTGCCGCACCGCAGCCGCGCCGCGACGGTTTATAAAAAAATGTTGCTGCGCCGCGATGACTTATCAAAAAAAACGTTGCCGCGCCGCTGCCACGATGAATTATAAAATAAACGTGCCGCCGCGGCGGTTTACAAAAAAGTGTTTCTAATTTCACTGCTGCGACTATATTTGGCCAGAGATATTGGTACTAGTCCATCAGATTCATTCAGTCTCGGGGTGTTTCATTTGTAAACCCTGAAATTCTATTAAATTCATGCAGTTTTTCAATGTTCCCCGAAAAAATCCAGCCGCTGCCGCGATGGTCTTTTAAAAAACCTGCCGCTACCGCGCTGCTGCCGCGATGATTTTTAAAAAATCTGCCGCTACCGCGCCGCTGCCGCGGTGATTTTTTAAAAAACCTGCCGCTGCCGCCACCGCCATCGTGGCAGCGGCGCGGCAGTGGCAGCGCCGCGATGGACATCTCTGAACTGAATGAGCTCACATTTTTTTTTTACATATGTCTATGCTAAAAGAACGTATTTATAAAATTAACACTTGTAAACAATCAAAATCAAATGAAAGTTTGGTATGTCTTAATGTAGTCTGACATAGCCAATATAATATTAAAAATATTTATTCATTCTCTTCATTTTTTCTTTGATTATACAAATTTTGAATATCATCATTTGCTATTAATTTTTGTAATTGTTTTAATGTTAATAAATTTTCGACTATATTTTTTGTAATATGTTTACAATTTTTAATATTAAGTATATTTAAACGTTTTAATTTTCGACATAGAGAATGAATTGTATCATCAGTAATTTGTGTTTCACTTAAATAAAGTCTACGAAGTGTATTATTATATGAAATAAGTGTATTAATAAATATTCTCGTTGGTAATATACGAAAACAACCATTAAGATTAAGTTCAATTAAATTTGGACATAAATCAATTAAATAATTAATTGATTCTGATTTAAGACATGAAGAATTTTCAAATGAAAGTATTTCTAATTGTTGAAAAAAAAATTTTTTTGTTTTTGTAAAATTTTTTATATATTGTTGTGATATTTGTAAAAAATTTAATGTTCCAGAAAGATTTGTTGTTAACATTTCACATTTATTTAAATAAAGACCTTGAAGATTTGATGGTAAATATGTTATATTTTTAATAGCTGTCGGATTAATATGAAAATCATATTGTAATAAATGTAAATGACGAAGATTTGGATATGATATTTGAATTAAAGAATTTATTTGTTCAGTATATGGAGGTGGTTTACCTGAATTACTATGATGTAATCCACCAGAAATTTTTAATACTTCTGTACAATTACGAGGAAAACGACGTAAAAATTTTAGTAATACACGATTTGAATAAAATTTTGATGTTAAATCAATTGTTGTCCAAAATTCATCATCATAAGCAATACGACGAAACCATTTACAGACACTATTAAAAAACAAACACATCGATTAGATAAATAAAAAAGAAAACAATTAAACAAACCCAGCAACAATAATAAGTTCATCTATTGTAAGATATTTAAATATTGAAAGAAGTTTTTCATCTGGTAATTGAAATATGAATCCATTTTGTTCAATATATTCTTCTCGAAGTTCTTTTTTTCGTTTTATACGAGTATTTAAAGACATTTAACAAATCTTTTCAAAATATACTTAATTTAAGTTATATTTTATATGAGTATAGAGTCATTGCTCAAACAATATGAAATTTTTATTTCATTTGTCAAAATTCTATTTACTTATCCGTGATTGAGTTCTCCAATAAAAAATAAACTGACTGCCTCCTTTTCTTCGATTACGTACGATGACACTACTTGTAATGTAAATTCTCTTTAAAATGAATTCACAAAATACATGCGTATATCTGACTTAGTTGAATGAAAATAAAGACATTGAAAAAGCTAAGCCAAATACTATCAAAATTTATTTATCATTTGATAGTAAACAAAATTTTAAGTGTTTCAGGAAACAAGCCATAGCTCTAAAGACATACATGGCAATACTAGCCATCACAAATGTTTTCACTTTCTTCTTATGGTGTTTAGATTTATTCATTCATTTAATCTGAACCCATCTTATCATAATTTGATAATTTGTTACTTTATAACAGCAATTTGGATTGCATCTTACGATGGTATCGGTTCATAGTCTCATTCTGCAAATACTCGTTTTCTCGATAATGAAACTATACACTCAAGATCCCTTTGTGAGTGGCAATAGTCTTGTCTTACGAGATTGTGCGTGGCAGCCGAGAGCGCGGCGCTCATCCAAAAACCTATTTGACTCTCTCAAAGTTTTTAATTGTTCTTCCAAAAGAGAAAATCTAGAAGAGACTTTCAAAGTATGGACTCTTTTTCATAGATAATGTTTTCCTCATTAAATACAAAAGTTTTCTATGTTATAATTTAGATTGATAATAAGAACAATGTTGAACAATATCATATTGTTTGTCTATTGTCATCGTATTGAATGCAAAAAGAAAAGACTTTCTATATAGAATGTCAACAATGTTTTATTGAAGAAAAATATAATTTCTTTTGATTAAAAAAAAATTCAGAAATATATAAAAAATAAAGTTTTACATTTATATAACTATCATAGCTAGAATAATGGAAAAAAAACAATGCTTTCCAGATCTATATTGCTTGTTTATCTGATTCGTTAAAATATCACCAGTTTACGGTTTGACATCCGTATTTTTAGCATTAACTGCTTGATAATCAGCTGTAGCTTTTTTATAATGTTCATTGTTCTTTAGATCTTTTTTATTACGACTCATCATATTATATCCATAATCTAAAACATAAAATATAAAACAAGAAAACAAAGAAAATTTTATTTCATAACATACAAATAACAATAGCAAGAACAGCAATTGCACCGAATTGGCCAACTCGTGAACTTATAAATGATTGTTTATTTGGATTGCTAGAACTGAAAAATTCCTATTTCATAAATCGAGTAAGTAGAAAATCAAAGTCACCTTGACGATGGCGATTTGTTACTACTAGTAGAAGTATCTCGACGTTGTTTATCACTTGGTTTATCAACTGGATCTATATGTTCATGATCTAATGGTGGTGCATCAGAACTTGTTTTTGTTGGATTTGTTTTATCAGACGCAGTAGCACTTGATGGTAAAACTGATGAATCACCTTTTTTTGTTCCACCTGTCTGTGAAACTGTTTTTGTACTACCTGATATTGGTACACCCTTAAGAATTTTAAATTAATTTCTTTAGAATTCAATTATACATAAAAATATATTAAGTAAAAAAAATCTTCAGTGACCTATAAATGCTTTGTAAGAATAGCAATCGCTAGTGAGTCGATCTGTTTTATTGATTTCTACAAATCAGAACAGAACTTTTTGTTTGCCTGGTTGCTATTTGCTTGTTAATTTTTCTTAGTATTCATGTAACGAGCAAATAAATCTGAAGTACAGATCCATTATATCTGTCGTAGGTCTCCGGGCTCTAATGACAACTGTAATAAAGAAATCCATCGCCAACCATCATCCTTCATATCTATCATAAAATAGAGTATGTTGCACTTTAATTGAAGACTTAATCGACTTCCATGCGAAAGTGCTAGAGAATCAACATAAATTTTTTCTTTAGACGAGGTATCTCGATATAGAAAAGAACTCTAATAACCTTAGATCTCTCATTTGATAGCTTAGTGTTGACTCTATCTTCAATTAAAATTCTGTGTCAAACGTTTTTAGTTTGTCTATCCAGTGAAAAATATTTTGAAAAAAAAACCCGACAGAATGCGTTCTCAGAAATTGAAAGAGCTTTTTTAAGAAAAAAAATTCCAACAAGTGAGGAATGCGTTCCCAGTTGGGACAGTTAGGAATGGATTTCAATGCTCCTGGAATGTTTTCTTGTCTTGGAAAAAGCTTCACAACTATTCGGAAAACGTTCTTCGCGGTTCCGCTTTCAATTGATGAATAAAGGATTCTCTAATTTGAGAAACTTGTTCGCATACATTCTCATTAAAACAATGCCCATAACAACGTGCTTTTTTATTTACTGTCCTATCTACGTATGTACTTAACTATTTGTCTACTTCTCCATCTATCTAACTATCTATTTATTGTACTTACTTAATGATCTATACTATCTATCTCATTGCATACTTTACTATCTACCTATCTAGCTGTCAACTTAATCATGAACTTAAATATCTTACTATGTAATGATGTGTTTAATTACATAATGAATTATCTTTCTATAACATTTCATTTATCTGCTTATAAAAATAATGATCTATATGGTCTGTCCATGGAATAAAAACATGGCAAAAAATGATGTAAATTACATCATGTTAATGAAAAGTGTATTAGAGAAAAATGATGTCAAAAATGAAAAAAATATCATTTTTCATCATACAACGGACGCTTATATGCATGTATTTCAAAGTCATGCATAAAATTGGCACGTAAATCATCCCATGAAAATGATCAAATTTCTAACCAATCTCATGCAATTCAAACGATTGAAAATACATCAAAATCATATCATCAAAGCAATGAAAATCCAGCTATTGCACGAGAACTATGAACACTTGTCTCAAACATGTGATCGGGGGAGGGTGTGCCGCAGAATTAACTGCGTGCGGCACTGGAACATCTATAGCAGCTCCTGAGCAGTGCCCTTCGGGAGGCTTTGTAAGGAACTCTATAAGATCTTAAATCTCAGAATCGTATAGATCAGCAGCCATCACTTTGCGTAATAGATCTCGAATTTTAGCTGAAATAAGCAGCGCACGACATTCCTACTCTCCTTACAGATTACATTTTTCCTACACAAGTAATGTGTAAGGACAGCATTTATGCCTAATTTGAATTCATCATTTAAATGACGCATTTTAAACGAAATTAATGCAATGGAAACTGAATTTTCGCAGTAGACAGTTTAACGAAATGAAAATCATGGAGAAATATTGAAAGTACCGTGATGATTTCGGTTTCAGCAAAGTTATCAAAAGCATATTCTGAAAATTATGTAAAACTAATACAGCTAACCTCATAACTTTCATTTTTCGAGAATAATCGAACTCATGTCATGAGAATGATGTAATAGTAATTAGAGTACTGTTGTGATTTAGGTTTTTCTGAAATAATGAAAGTCATGAAATTTTTTTGATGAAAAGTTCTAAAATAATCATCTAAATGAAATTACTTTCATTTTTTTATTCCCTGGGTGATGACTCTAAGATAAAATATCCTTTGACATAATCGTGAAGTTTACTAAATAAAATTTTAATAAAATATTTGTTAGTTACATCCTGAAAGTCGTTTTGAATGTAATGCAATTTTTTTCTGAGAAAAGCTTTAAGTCAGAGAAATATGTTGCGTCGTCTATATATATGTACCATGCATTTCCCCAAAACATTGAGTTGAACCCAAAATAAATTTCAGACTAATCAACAGGAATAAACAACGAATATTCTGTTACAATTTACTCAATATAAATAGTACGTTCAAGTGTATTTAGTCTTTGACTTATCAGACTACAGATCATAGTAATTCGAGCATTAAAAATAATTCATTCAAGAGTTTGAACAGTTTGTGAAATAAAGTTATGCACTGCAAAATATTGCGAATTAACTTTAAAAGTAGTAAATGTGAGGGAATATGAGATTACAGAAATTATAGAATCAAAAAAAACGAAAATATGAAATATCTAAATTCATTTTTAATCTTATTTTTGATTTAATAATATAAGTTTGTCTCCGCAAAAATTGTGGCAATCAATATTTAGTCATAAAAACAATAACAAAAGATTGTATCCGTTGAAGAACATTGAGGAACGTAATTTCAGTTAAACAATATTCATTCTCATCATAACAAAATATTGCTATCGAGCATTTGAAACGGATGAGAACACATTCTATTATTTAAAAGTTGATTTCTGAATCCATCAGGAATCATCATATATTTTAGAGAACGAAAAAGAACAAGTTCATTTTTTTTCCTAAGAATGATGTTAGATCGTCTAGAGAATGTTCATCAGTTTGAGGAATCCATTCTTAGACATTTCTCTTGAGAACAAAAAGAAATCATTTCAATAGTCTAGGGAACGGTTCAGATCGCTTTTCATTGATATGAAGAACGATTCTAAATCAGGAGAAAAGCTTTCTATTAATAGCACGAAATGGCAAAGAATCCGTTTGTTAAAATGCAAAACGTATTCTTGTCCGTAAGAACGCATTCATCAAACTATAGAATACATTCTTCAAGGCAAAGATCACTTTCCATGTTCGGATGGACGCCATCACTTCCGCTTTCTTTTTCGAATATTTTTCACTAGATATCTTATAAAATATTTTTTGGATAATCTCTACATGAAAATTGCTGGAATTTTCATAATAAGTGAAGGTCTATTGATTTCGGATTGCTGCTAGCGATCTCTATTTGTAGACAAAATATCAGACAAACGAATTAAGGTTTATGTACGCAAAACAAAAACCAAAATCGGCAACTATTTAAAGAATTGTAAATCTTGTTGTTAAAAAAGTCTGTGAAAAAAGTGTTGCGCTAGTGATTTTTAACTGTTATAAAAGTGTACCGAATGACCTTGACACGTGACATCGATAGCTACGAACGTGGATAGAACCGCAAAACCACAACTTAAAATTTATACTTATTATTTTCTTTCGAAAAACATATATATATATAAATTCTACAAAAGAAGACATCAATATCATACTTGGCCAGGTGTTAGTGGTACTGAAGTGTTTTGACTGGCTTGAGCACGTGATATTAACGTGGGAAGAAAACGAGGAATTGTAAATATTCCTCGTGTTCGCAAAAGATATGAAGACATTATTTAAAAATCTAAAAAAAGAACAAACCAAAGAGAAAAAAATTTGAATCCGAATTTGCTAGGTTATTCTTTCTAGTTTAATAACTAGAATATAAAATACAAGAGTATGGAAAAATCTATTAACACAACTGAAATTATGTTCATGATAGTTTATTTATTTGATTTTTTAACACCTTCATGAGGTTTATGCGGATTTTCATCTTGAGCTATTTTAGCATGAACAGCAGATTCAGGTTGAAGATCTGGTCTTGTTATACGTGCTTGTATATCTTCAAAATTTGCTTTTTGATTTGGTGAATTACCAAATAACATTTTATAACCCGCATCTAATTAAAATAAAAAATTTTTTAATATAATTTTGATTAAGAATAATTGTTTTTTTTTTTTTTTTAAAGAAACCTACAAACTGATATAGCAGTAAGAGCTACTAAACCAAATTGACCCAGAGGACTTTTTAAAATTGATTCATGTCTATACAAGAGAAAGAGAGAAAAAAAATAGAGCGAATTAGAATTTCAATAATATTTTTCTTATTTATACGCTTTATCTGGACCACCTTGCGATTCAGCTGCTTTAGCATCACCTGTTGTCTTATTTGGATTTGTCTTATCATGAGCTGTTTCAGAACTTGGTAACATACTTGCACTACTACCACCACCACCAATACCAGTTTTTGCCGTAATAGATGGTCCATTCGTAGCAATAAATTGATCAGCACCTGAAACCATTGGTTGTCCATTTTTAGCTTCAGGTATTTTAACTGATGAACCTGGTAGTAAATTATGTGCATTCATACGTGATACATACAACACATTGGTTGTTGTACGAGGTACAAGACGACAAAGATTTGACATTTTATTTAAATAGAATTATATATCTAAAATAATAAAAAAAACGTGTTTGGTATATATATATAGATACATAACTTATACAATATACTCTTTGACCGATTATTTATTGACGTAAATATTATTAAATATCTATATCTTCTATTACATATGTGATAATTTTTTTTGAAGTCTACTATTTATTAAATAAATAAAAAATGGAACTTAAATTTAAGAATAATCTATGCATTCATTTTTTTGATAAATCAATGTATACTCTTGTTTTTTTTTTTGAATAATAAAAAACGAAAAATTTTTATGATTTAATTTACTAATAATTCACTTATCATACTTAAAATAATTCTTTTAATTATATAATATAAAAGAAAATAAAATCTATAACATACAATAAAGTTTCATGAACATATTGTAGTAAGATAATATACAATTAAGATGCTAAATAGCATGTCTTTCTTATATATATATACATATGTAAATACGCAAATGGATTTTGTATTGATTTCTATTGGTTAATTGATGCCATTTGATGTTTTAATTAGAATTCTTTTTTTCTTAAATTACTGATTCAAATATAGATTTTTAATTATAAAGTTTTTTTTTTTTGAATAAAAAAATTCAAAAACATAAAATAATGATAACACGTGACATAATAATTCATTAACGTTGATAATAGCGACAGCAGGTGAAAGAAACCAAGTGTACTCATTGTATATTATTATCAACCTTTTAATACTATTGAAATTTCTATTTCATTTTGATCAAATTTGATAATATAAATAATGATATATTCTAATAAAAGTATTTATCTATTAATATCTTGTAACCGAGAAGACTGAAGTTAAAAAAAAAGAACTCAAATTCTACATTATTTTCACTTTTATTTCATTTTTAATAATAGATTTCAATTCTTCTTATTGACCCTGTTGTAACAAGGGTTATATGGTAGAGGCATATGCGTATATTAAAAAAATTCAGATTTAATATTTGTTTCATTTACTTTGAACAAACATGTACATAAATGTTAACAATCATATGAATTTTTTAGACAATATTATATACTTTTTTAGACATAAGTCGGACCAATTATTTTTGATCCTAAGAAATAAATGATATATTATTTAAGAATATTGACATGTAGGATTTGACAAAATTCTAATAATCTTACAAGTATATCCGTGTAATATTTCTGACATTCTCATATAACTGAAATAAATAATTGTTTAAGAATTCATCAAAATATTTGTTTTGTTTTTTTTTTTATTATAAACTGGACAAAAAAACGAAATGAATAACATATAGAAATAGAAACTATGTATGTTGGTTGCTGTTATGTCTTTTTTTTTATTATAACATTCCTTCTTCATCTTGTATTGGATTTGAATTGAGACTATCATCATCATCATGATTATATTTTTTAATTTTAACTTGATATTTTTCATTATTTAAAATATTTTCTGAATGTGTTGTTGTTTTTGTTATCATAGTTGATTGATTTTGTTTAGGTTTTTTGGTTGTTTTATCCCATTTTTTACAATCTTTTGGTATAGATTGAAATTTTACTGCTAATTTTGATACAAATGGTTGAGAATTTTCTTCATAATCATTATTATTTATAGATTTTGATGATAAATCATTATTTGATATATCATGAGTAAATTTTTGATGATTAGTTTGTATTGGATCTTTTGATGAAAATGGTAATGTATCTGCTTGAGCTTTCACTTGTTTTGTTAAACGCATATTTTTTTCAGGATGTATAAGTATAATATAAACTTTAGGTGAAAATAAACAAGCTAATGCTACTGTAGCACATAAAGATATTGTTATGCATAGAGTTGCTATGTGTACCTAACAAAAAAAAAGTAAAACAATCAAAAAAAAAAAGTTCGATTAAATATATTAGATTACTTGATGACGACCAGTTTCATAAGCTGTAAAATATATCGGAAGAAATGCTAACCTATAATAACAAAAAAATATATCAGAATTACTATTAGGGGTCGACAAGCTCAGCTCACGAGGGAACATTCCAAAGTGTCCCATCGTTTTTGAGTTCGGACTCTATGCATAAGATAGATCTCAGTGATGTATGAAAAACCCCAGAAGAATAAGTGCCCTTAGGCCTTCTGTCTAGAGTTATAGGCATTTTACCGAAATTTTAGCCTTTGGCATGGTATATACCGACAAATCAAATGATGGTATTTCGACCTGAGATTTTGTCCACAAATAGATCTATTTGTGAGTAGAATACGCTGAAAATTTTAGCTCAAAAGAATATTTTATTCCTGAGATATTAAAGTCCCAAAAATCAATAATATCCCACGAAAGATGCTAGAATTTACTGTTTTTTGGGACTTTAATATCTCAGGAATAAAACATTCTTTTGAGCTGAAATTTTCAGGATATTCTACTCACAAATAGATCTATCTGTGGACAAAATCTCAGGTCGAAATACAGTCATTCGATTTATCAGTATATACCATGCCAAAGGCTAAAATTTCGGTAAAATGCCTATAACTCTAGACAGAAGGCCTAAGGGCACGTATTCTTCTGGGGTTTTTCATACATCACTGGGATCTACCTTATGCATAGAGTCCGAACTCAAAAACGGTGGAACACTTGGGAATGTTCCCTCGTCAGTTCCGCTGAGAGGCACTGTTCGAACAGCTCTTTTGAGCTGAGCTGAACTGGTGAACCGGTTCGTTTGAGCTGTGTTCCCGAAATAGAATACTTTTGTTCCGTTTTCGGGAAATAATTTCCATAAAAGAACAAAATTGTTCTGTTTTTGGGAAATAATTCCTATAACAGAACAAAAGTGTTCTGTTTTGGGAACACAGCACAAACGAACCAGTTTAGCTCAGCTCAAAAGAGCTGTTCGAACAGTTCCTCTCAGCGAAACTGAGCTGAGCTTGTCGACCCCTCATTATTATAGGTCTTATTTGTTTTTAACGAACCAAATAATACATGTTGTATAACAAGTAAAACCAATAAATTTTGTTTCATTAAAATTTTCTGGTACTTTACGTGTACGTATAGCATACATTGTACATACAAGTACAAGTAAAACATTATAAGTTAATGAAAAAAGAAATGAATGTTTATTCATATGACATTTAAGTGTAACTAAACGATCATAAGCTATTAAATCTACAGCAGGACGTTCATATGCAAGCCATAATAATGAAAGAAGAAGTTGAACCAATATTAAACATGAACAAATAGCTACTTGAGAATTTGGTGATATATATTGAGGACGTAATTTACCTAAATAATAAAATAATTTTATTTGTTAAAATTCATCATAGAAAATTTCTTGTAGAAATATAAGAAATGTTCTTTTAACCTTTCATAGTCAAGATTAATATGAATCGAATAAATTATTTAAATGAAATTGACTATGATGTATTAATTTCTAGTATTGAATCTATCAAATATCATCTTATATACTACTGTCTGTTCAAAATTAAAATGGTCGCCGCCATTTTTTGAATAACTTGAGAATAGAAGCAGTTAGCGAGCTGCGGTTTTCATTAGTCTAAAGAAGGGATATCGAGACGTCTTTATCTCCGATATTGTATAAGAAGAAACTATTTTAAAATCCACCGTTTTTGTGAAACATCGAAAAAATGTACAAAAATAATCCGTCATTAAGATGAAATTTTCACAAAAAATCAGAAAAATTCATACCTTTTCAATGAGTAAATTGAGAATTTGATGTGCTTTACCTTAGAATGTGTGAAAATAATCATTCAAATTATATCTTAAACTATAGATCTGAAGTTTCTCTATCTAAATAACATATCAAAACCAAAATTTCATCCACCGTTTTCATCCATTTTTTCCAATGTTTTGCAGAAATAATTGATTTGAAAATGATGTCGTCCCATACAACATCAAAGGGAAAAGACGCCCCAGCGTCGCCTCTTTCAACTGATGAAAACCGCAGCTCGCTAGCTGCTTTCATTCTCAAGTTATTTAAAAAATGGCGGAGATCATTTTAATTTTGGACAGACAGTAGATAAACTATCGGAATACTTTAACAAAAATTCTGATCAGAGGATAGCTAATCATTTAATTATCAAACTACTACCAGTATCGAACATATTCTGGTCTATATCATGAATTTTTAATTGATAATTATTATTAATCAAATAGTCGTAGATATTATCTTAATCGTATATAATTACTAATTTTTTTTTTGAATTTACCTTGTTTTTTTGTACTTTCAAATATTCTTGCAATACGATTTGTTTTTGTTAATAATGCTGCATACATCATTGAAAAACCTAAACCAATACCTAAACGTTGAATAATACATGTTATAACATGTGGTTTTAATAATATAGGAAATGTCATTAAATAACATAAATGTATTCCAGCTAACATAATAAAACAAAGTTCTTTTCCACTTGCTTTAACAACAGGTGTTTCACGTTTTTTATAAAAAAGTATAACAATAAATAATGTAAATATATTTCCAATAATTGATAAACATATTGGTATTAATGCTTGTATTGATAATATATCAATATATGTTTCTTCAAGTTTATAACATGATGTACGATTTATTGTTGGCCAATATCCAATAGAACATGGTTCACAATATTCATGTTCTTGTAAATCAACAACAATAGATGTTTCATTACATGGTGTACATACCCAACAACATGAATCACCTTGAAATTGTCTTAATTCACCAACACGACATGGTGTTGAACAACGTGATATAGGAATTATTGTTGTTGTTGATAATAGATTATGAATATTTGTACCTGGCCATACAATTGAATCAATAGCTAAATTTAATTGACCATTTTTATTTCGACCTGTTTTCCATTCACCAACAGATACATATTCATATGGTAATGCATTTATATCTGATGATACTAAATGTGATCGACGATAATTATATATACGATAATGACCTGGTACAAAACGTTCAGAATTAAATTGTATTTGTCGAAAATCAGGTACTAGAATAAATAGAGAAATTTTTTTGTTTTGCAGAGTCATGTACTTAAACGAATTGATATGATAAAGATTATTTGTTCTCTTCTCAACATCATCTATTTTATCAATATATTCTAATTCAAATTTTAATGAGTTTAAAATTTTATGATTATTTTAATACATAGCTAAGCAATAACTAGAATCATTGAATGTAAAAATTATTAGATTCGTATGTGAACTGTAATCTTAGTACTTTCAATGATTTTTTTTTTGTGTTCGATGACTAGCAAACTATATACATTTGTCGAGACTATATTAACGGTAATTGTATAATCAAATTATCAATTGGTTAACTCTAAGAATTAGTTTTATCTATATGAACATGACCTAGAACAATTTGATATATAGCCTATATGCCTACTCTTAAAGAACACATGTAGCTAATAATATGATCGAAAATATTATGAATTTTGTTCATCGGAAGTAATCGAGTAATGCTTAATAATTGGTTCATTATCTATTGTGGGTGTGTAAAGAAAAAAAAAAGAAATGAAATTTTTTTGCAACAATGCATTTATCATTGATTATTATAAAAATCGATTTGACATATGTCTATTGAAAAAGACCAACAAAAGAAAAAACCTTACCCAAAAATGTTTTTTCTAAAATCAATTGAAATAATTTTGTACCATTTATATGATTTAAAGAAATATTTGAACATTTTAATGATGTACAATTTAAATATGAATGTAATGCTTGTGCAAATACATATGTTGCATCAACAATAAATTGTAATTTACTATCCCAATTTGTTTCATTTAATTGATGATTAGCACATATTGTTGATGTTAAATTACAACCAAAACGATTTTCCCAAAATTCATTAAACCATGGATTTCTAGATGATTTTAATTTTTCATCATGAGAATTTTCATAAATTTTTCTATTTATTATATCAGGTTTAAGTGCATTAAAATAACGATCAAAATTTGATGGTTGAATTGATACAAGTTCAAGTGTTAATGATCCAACAGCTATTTCATCTGTTTCACCATTAATTACAACTGATGATTCTTTACCCTAGATTTTAAAATTAAGAAAAATTAAGAAAAAAACACAAGAAAATTCTTTTATTATACCCATGCATCACTAGCTATTAAAACAGGTCGATATGTACCATTAAATAATTTAATTGCTTGTAATAATTTTCTTGCATCTTCTTTTGTAACAAATAAAACATAAACACGTGCTTGTACATCAGGTTTAATACGTTCTAACATTGTTTCTAATATTATTTTAATATCATATATTGATGCATCACGTTTTAAACGTTGTTCATCAGAAATACATATACGTTGTTGTCGTTTTTTATATATATTTATATCATCATCAATATTTGTTGATAATTTAAGTAAACGTTTAAATTCTCGAAAACCACCTTCACCATAATCACCATGTGAATAAATAGCATTAACATATGTAAAATTTAATGATTGTAATATATCAACAATTGCACGTGCTTGATTAGAATCGGACGGAACAGTACGAGCAAAATAATCAAATGATGGTTCACTTAATTTCGGTGTTGTTGATGCATATGATATTTGTGGTAATTGAAATAAACGTAATAAATTAGCAACATGTACACTAACTGAACTTAATGTTGCACCAACAACACCAAATATATTATCATTATGAAATAATTCTGGTGTTGATGTATTTATACATATACATGTACCTGATGCTAAACGACTACGTACAAATCTTAATGATTGTTCTAATGCATAATTATCATCTGAACATGTATCAAATATAAGTGCACCTAATTCAATACCAGGTAATAATTGTTTATCATTATTTATTTGTTCAATAGCAAAAAGCATTGCTTCTAAACGTTGTATACCACGAAATTCACTTATTGTTCCACATGGTTCACGTGGATTTCCATATTCATGTACAGGAAATAAACCACCTAATGTAACATCACCACGACGATGTGCATAACGTTCTGTTGTTGATAATGTTTTATTAATAAATAAGATAAAAAAATAAAATATCAATTGATAATGATGATAATAATAATAATAGAACATGGATTATACCTATATTAAATCTAGAAAAAATGTAAATATTATCATCATGATTTTTTTGTATGAATAAAATCTATATGTATAGATTAGATATTTGTCTTGTCTTTTTTTTTAATACTTTATTTCTAGTACTTTTACTCTCGGAATCACTCATTCTCGTTTTCAAAGTTAATCTATTTGACAAAGACAACAAAAAAAAAAAAGGGAAGTTCTCTTCATCGCCGCTTCTACGTCTACTGTTAGATCTTCCTTTTCTTTCCCTTTCTCTCTCTCTCTCTCTCTCTCTCTCTCTCTCGCATCCTAGTTCATCTTTTTTCTATTTGCCTGGGTAATTACATGGTTCTGTCTTTCTCATTTTCTCTCGAATTGTATCTATTTTTGATTAGAGTAGTTGATTCATTTGATTACGATTCATTGTTTTTTTTTCCTAAAATATTTTTCGAGGTAACATCGATTTAATGTTTTTTTTTTTTCTTTTTTAATTATTATTGTTCAATTGAGCGACCTACAAAAGTCTATATGAATATTGAATATAACCAACACATTATGTGTTAAATAAATTCATCGTATGACTTTTCAATACTTGTATTCATAACATGAATAAGACAAGTTCTTCTTTATTTAATCGTATCCTTCTTTTTTCTTTTTGTTTTATATTTTGATTACGAGAATACTAAACAAAAAAAAAAAACAAAAATTTCGTTAGTTCCATCATAAACAGGGCGGGCGACATGCTCGTTGTCTTCTTTATTCCTGCGTAACATTTTTTAAGTATTGGCTTCCACTTGTCAACTTGTTTACCAGACAAGCTTGTCTATCATCGGAAAAAGATGATCAAAAAGGAGATATAAGAAGAAAGATACGAAGTATGTCGGCCCATGATTATAATAACTAGCGAAAAGATGATTAATGAGTTGTCGATATGTAATAACAAGTGTTTGTAAGAAAGAAAAAAAACATTTTACTCTTATAAATTAATGTTGCCAAGATTTTATATATGATATGATAAAAATTTCAAGTAAATAATTTTTGTTTTTATATATTAGACCGTTGTACTCGAAAAAACACATACATTATATCATTCTACTATATATATATGTGTGTGTGAAAACAACGCTTATAAAAATTTCTTTTTTTTTTTTTTCTTCCGCTTGTCTTTTTCATGCTGCTTAATTCAGATTGATATTGATAAGAACAATAATCTGCGATGTGAGGCAAAACTAAGTGCATGAAGAAAGAAGTCACTTTTATTCATGTTTGGATCGAGAAATGCATAGAAGTCTTTTTAATTTTGTGTCCCTATCGCTCATCTTTATCTTTCTCTGTTTCTCTAAGAAAAATTCTTTTGTATTGGAAAACAAAAAAAAGAATATCTATAAAGCATGAAAGACTGGCATGCAGTAATTTAGTGTCAATAGAAAAAGATGCACATATTAAATCAAAGTCTATTTATGTTTTTTTTTCTTTGTAGATTCTATTCAAGTTGAGTTAAATATAAAAATAAGAACAAGACGTTTTGTATCTTTTTTTTTTTTTTTGCATGTCGAATGCACTCTATTCGAATGTCATCAAAATTTAATTCGAAATTAATGACAATATGACATAGATAGTGAAGTTGAAAGTTATAAAAAAAAGTTTATTTTTGCTTTTATATAAAAAAAGTCAAATCACGCCATATAAGAAAAGACACGATAGTTATTGTCGTTTTTTTTTTTTTTGAAAGCATTATCAACATCCATGTATTAGAATAAAAGATATTTCATTCGTGCGAATAAATCCAACGTGAATATTTGATAATAACTTGTTTTCTCTTTTTTTTAGCAAAACGTTGCTTTGGCTAATTACAGAGTTTTCTCTATACTATGTCATTCATGCACAATTTCCATCATAACCGTACCCTTTAATTTCAAATGTATATAACCGTATAATAATCTTTAATGCACTTCATCTTTTTTTTTTTATTATTATTAATAAACGACAAATAAGTAGATAGACAATTTCTTTGAACATGACAAAAAAAAAAAAAACGAAAGAATAAATTTATTGATTTTTTCTATTTTGTGTTGTTTGAATAAAATGATCAATTTCTTTTATATCTAACATTGAACGTATACGACTTGTTGATTTTTCATAAAGTTCCATAAGATCATTTTTAATTGTTGATGGTCGTAAACGTTTTTGTTCAAATAAATGATCAATATCATTTATTGTTATTCGATTTTTTTTAATTAAATTTGTTTGTTGTTGAATAATTTTTGATGATTTTTTATTTTGTTGTCGAATTTTTTTAGCTTGATGTCGTTCTTCATGTGCTTGTTTAATAGCTAATTGATATAAATTATGACCAATATTATTAATTAATGATTGATTTTGATCAATTGAAATTATAGAATGAGATGATAATGTATCATCATCATTATGATTAATATTTTTAGATTTTGTTGGAAATTTTTCCATTCATTTGATGATACAAGAAAAAAAAAATTTATTATCAATTAATATGTCAATAGTGAAAAAGGAAAAGAGTTCAAGCGCCAATCGAATGAACTTCTTTTCTTTTTTTTTTGCTTCTATTTTTATCGGTAAAATAGAAAAATAAATACTATTATTCATTTTTTCGAGAATGATTTCCGTTGAAAACATTGTCAAGTATAATTTTTTTTTATTTATTTAAATATGAATTATCAAATGAAGCGTTTTATTTAAAATTAAATGATTTTTTTTTTTAGAAATTGATTAAGATAAAATGTTTATCAATAGAAATCAAATTAAAAAAAAACATAAATATTGAATGAAGTTCAATAACTTTGATATTAATTATCAAAAATCAATTAATAAATAATTGATTTCGTTTGATGGTAATAAATGTATCATTGTAACATTGAACGCTATTCTTCTTAATCAAAATTTCATCGTTTGATTTAGTTGCGACTGCAAAGTTTTTGACAACGGTCACTGAGACCTCTTTCTCAAATTTTCTATGGACTCATTGTTAGCAATAAATTTTAAAATTTTCCACAGGATGGATTTAACCTTCCTGAGATGCCGTCATTAATTTCATTCTCTACTACAGTTAAACGAGTCCAAAGTTTTTTAACCTCCTTTTTAGTCGTCTTATTCTGATAGAGACTCTGGAGATGTGAACTTTTTTTTTTTTATCAATTATTTATATTCTGCTACTAACCCATCCTATACATTTCTCATGAGAAAAAGTCCTTCAATTGATAAATCACTTTTGATTCAAGCCTATATGCATTATGTAAATTCGTACAATGTTATGAATATTTTTACCTTATTGTTACAGCAATACTGTATTTTTGTGATAGTTTTTAAATAAATGTCACAGTTTCCTATCTCAGAAACAGAAGGAAAATTTAAGTTCAAATTTTGATTAGCACTTTTGCATAAGAGGCTGGCTTTAAGGAGAATAGCTTTTTTTTTTTATGAATGTTTTATATCTTATCGCAGTTCTTATTCTAAGATATATTTATGATCTTTTACATCGTTCATACACACTGACAGATTCAATGTTTTATTATAGAAATAAATCAATAGATTTGAAACATTCATTAAAAATTATTTTCATTAAAGCCTGCTTTTGTATAAATTTTGCAAGTTGAAATTTGAAAATTAGTTTTTCTAGTATATCTGAGAGGAACGACAGCATTTGTTACAGATATTAATATAATTAAGGCCATGAACTTCTTTTAGAATATTCAAAACTCATTTGGATCTATATAATGCATATCATGTCTACCTAAAAGTGATTTTTCAATTGGAAGACTTCTTGCGTTAGACAATTTTGTAAGATTTAAGTTATAAAATGAATTATTGAGTTTAAAATAGGACTTGTTAGATCGATCATAAACTTCGACCTGGATCCGGCGTCAAATTCGTATAATTGTATAAATTTAGAAAAAATATTGTTGAACAAAATAGTAAAGAAATCATTTTTTTTATTGAGACTATCACTTTCACAAGCAAGCGACTATTTATTTTAATGAGCGTTAAATACTTTACAATGAGAAAAAAAAAAATTCTAATTAAATTTGTTTTGTCTTTTTTTACATTGTTGTACGATATGGCATTTGTCGATAAATTGATGGTATTGGTGATGGTCGAGCAAAAAAAATAATACATAATATTAAAAATATAATACCAATTCCAGTAAAAATCAATGAAATAATAGTCATAATTAATTCTGCTCGTGTAACAAATAATTGCCATGCAATAAAATATAAATAACCAAAAAATATAGCAAATGTTAATAATATAGTTAGAGTTGATAATATAATATTTTCAGTTCGATTTGATATTGATCCAAGTAATATACGAAGTAAATCAATAAAAAATACACTAAGCATGAGAATTATTTCACCAGCTATATGTCCTTGATTAGGATATATAATTGTTGCATTTTTATAAACAAAACTAAGAGATTCAACAAGTAACCAAAGTAATAAACACCAACGATTGATTGTTAAAAATATTTCAAATACTACAGATGAACGAACATTTGACAATTCAGATCCAGCAACAGCCATCTAGAATTAATATATAAACATAACCTTTTATTATAGAAAAAAAGAAAACATAACTGAACATATAAATAAATGTATTGTCGAAGAAATATGTTGCTAAGGATATAATGCTTAACAAAAAAAAAAAGAAATCTATTTCCTTAGATGTCACCACGTATCAGCTACAAAATATATGGTATAATTGCACATCTTTTCGATGGATACATTTCACCATAATGTTGACAATACCAACGATGACTTAATAAAGCTGATAGACATTGATTAATAATAACCCATATTGTTAATGACATAAAACATGATGTAAAATGACTAACAAGTAAAAATGATATATAAATAAAAATTTCTGCTATATAATTTGGACAAGAAAAATATTTAAATGCCCAATAATTATTTGGTATAGGATAATGTTCTGTTTTAGTTCGATGATTTTTTGCTAATATTAAATGAACATTATATTGAATATAACTTGCAATAATAAATAATAATAATGATAATAAATAATTTAATATAGAAATATTTCTATTAGAATATTTATTATCAATAATAATTGTTAAACCAACAAATGGATAATGAATTAATCCAATAAAATAATGAATAAAACTCATTGTTGAATTTTGACCAAATTTATGTATATATAAACATTCATATAAACGTCGAAACATATGACAAATAAAAATTAAATATAAAAAATATGATAATCGATATATAAGAAATAAAGGTATATTTATTAATAGACCAATAATATAAAAATGTAGAAAATATGATTTTGATATATCAGTAAAAAATTTTTTCTTATTTATATTTTCATTTTTCAATTTACCAAATAGATAAAAATGTTGAAGAATAATATTAATAATATTTAAATTTGTTTTACCATCAATTAATAACCATATACCTGGTAATAATATACCAGCTGATATTGATAACCAAAAAAAAGATATTAATAAATTTATATCTATTTCAATCATTTTATTTCAATCTAAAACAATATATAATCAATAATTGATTCTATTTTATACTGTTAGCATAATTCCTGTAGAATTAATATATGAAACACCATATAGCTACTGTTGATAATTAGACGGAGATTTTTAAACCACTGGAATTATCTATGGAGAGTATATAACAGAGATGGACAAAATCGCACCGCGCCTCCCCGCGCCACTGCTCGCGCCTAGGCGCTACGCACATCTCTCTTTCTCTTTGCTCTACCAATCAGTTTCTCAAACTCCACCGAATACCGGGATGCTCTAAGCATGCGCTCATCGAAGCTCAGACTAGTGTAGCGTAGGCGTGAGCAACGGCGCGGGGAGGCGCGGTGCGACTTTGTCTATCTCTGGTATATAATACATTTTAACTGTCTCAAAAGAGAATCAGGTCTAGCTCTCATTCTTAGTTCCGGCGCTTAATTTTCTTTGTTTGATGATAGCATAATACCCTTATACTTCAACATTGTTTTTTAGATTGTGTTTCACAATGAAGGAATAATTTGTATCGATTTAGTTCAGAATAATATCCATTGAGATTATATTTGTTTAATTTTTATGTTATAAAAGAAAGTCTATTGAAATCGTATAGAATCAACTTTATATATATATATATATATGGAATTTATTCGCGATACATAGATATACAAAAAAAAAAATTTAACAGATATATATACAAGTAGTTTAATCAAAATAATATTCGATCATTCAAACAAAAAAATAATAATAAAGCATCTTCTGTGTTCAGAATAAAAAGCAATAGCTCTTTCGATTCTCAGAAGCTTACATCTAGATATATATATATACATTCTCATAGAACCGGAAAAATGATTTAAATAGATGCATCATCATCAATAAATGGTATTTGTATATAAATAAGTGGTTGTTCAAAAGAATTAATTCGTTGAAAATTTTGATTAATTTTATTATATTTATTAGATATATTTAATTGTTTATCAATATTATTTGATTGTAAAATTATAAATTCATTTGAATTTGAACATTCAAGATTATAATGATAAAAATATTGACGAGCATTATATAGACGAAGTATCATGGGAAGAAGACCACATAAAATTATTGAAGAGAATATCATGACATAAGCTAAGATCATCCAATTATCTGTGAACATTGTCAAAATAAAAGATAATAATGACTAGAATTATTTAATAATAGATATGGCTTAGATACCATCGAAATAGAATCTAGAAAGCAAAAAATTTTTTTTATCTTTTCTTTTTTTAATTAACTCTATGAATGTATATTTACTATCAAATAATATCACGCAAAATAAATAATTTGAATTATCTCTAACTTTTATCTCTATTCATATTCTTCTTCTTAAGTATTTTGAATATTACTTTTCTATTTCAAAGTTCAAATAATTAACTAAAATCAAATTCTATAATAAAATTAAGCATAAGAGACAAAACAAAAACAAATATCAGAATCAACTATCGAAAATAGTCAAACAAAAATTACCTTTAAAAAAAATATATATATTTTATTTTGATTTCTATTCAAATGAAAATATACTGGTTGAATTTAACTTATAATCTATTAAAACAAGATTTACAAGGAGTTTTGAAATGCAAAAATAAAAATTTGAGCTCAAGATCCTCAGAAATTGTGACTAGAGACTTGCATCGGAGTCAACGAAATTTTCTGATCGAAATTTCATAGTAGAATCCATCAGTCGCAATATTCTTGAACTCCGACCCTCTCAAGACTAATTCGATGGACTCTATCTACTGGTGTTCCTTCGAAGTCAACTTTTACTCCGATTTTTTCCCATCTATGTAAAGCTCTAATAAGGTATGAACCGAGCCTCCAGAATACATCAGTATGTTAAAAAAATTCGACCGCGCCTAACAATGACTCCAATACAAGTCTCTAACCGTGACAGAACTTAATCAAAGACTGTTTATCAATAGTATCTCGTTCTAATATAAACACTACTTCCTTATTGCATTTCTGGAGATGGTTGATAGAGAGTTACGTTTCACAACAGATAGAACAAAACAATTTACCTTTTAATCCCGCAGCGATTATGTTAACATCTTTTCTTTATAAAAAAAAAAAACAAACAGTTTATTGAAAAAAAAAATGAGAAAAATTATTTTATTTAATTATTTACAATAGGAACTATTTAAAAACATTTAATAGCTTGATAAAAGAGTCATCGTATATGATAAATATATTCTTTTAATAAAAATAAATACTTAAAAAAATAAAATTTCGCACTAAAAATAATCTATTGTTTTATTTTCTAGAGCAACCAATTGCTAAATTTAACGGTTAACATGATACATATTTTCATTGGGAACCTTTACCATAGATTAAACATCTAGCCTAAGGATTCTTTTGAGAAAACTCTTGTTTTTCATACGATCACATCTAACATTTTTCGATCAGGTTGGAATGTTGTTTTTCAAATATCTTCAACTATAAATCTCAGAGATGCTTTCAAATGTTTTTTGTTTTTCAAAAATTTTAATCTTTTTTTTATAATGAGAAAAATATATACAAGTTCAAATCAAAAATTGAAGTGTGAGCTTTCAGAATCCTATATTAAAGATTCGAAAATATTTATATCATCTCGATGTATTGATCCCTTCTGAGAAAGTTTAAATGAGTTTCTAGCAATTTGATATTTTTCTAAATTATCAAAACATTAAATAAATATAGATTTCATCATAACGAAAAACAGGCAAAATATCGAAAAAGAAAAATAACACTGACAAAGAAGTGTATAAAATTTATGCTTTATATGGCAAACTCATATACACACATAAACAAGATTTTTTCCAATATTAAACTGTTGACGAATATATTCATTTATTAATAAGTCTCTTTTCAATACCAATACATTGTAAAGCTAACAAAATATATTCATCAAGATAAGCCCATATTGTTAATTGAGTTTTTTGAATATAATCTATAGTAAGTTTATGTATTTCAAGAAACATATTTTGTAATTTTTGATCTTCAATATTTGTCCATTGTTGACGATAATTATTAATACTTTGACGATAACGTTCTGTAATAAAACTTTGAGTTTTTGAATCTAATATAAGACGTACATTATTTTCATCTTTTTTCGAAAGAAATTTTATTAATAATTCATGCCATATTGATTCAGGTATTAATGGTTTTGAATCAGTTTCAATACATTTATCACCAAATATATTTTGTTTTATTAACCAATCATTTAATATTTCAACAAAACAAGCACGTAATAATGGTACATCAGAAATTTTTTCATCGGATTTTGTATTTATACGTAATAAACTTTTTGGTTTTTCTTCACTTTTTCTATAATAAAATTCAACTAATGGAATATCAATTGAATATTCAGGAATAAAAACTTTAAATTTTGGTTCAAAATCTTTCAAATAATCTGAACATGCATGAAGAACAATTGTATTTGATTGATTAATAGAATTGTTTAACATATTACGATCTCTTAATTGAATAAGATGTTTAGCAAAAAGCCATGGAAAACTAAGTATACGTCGATTAGATTTTAATGGTAAACGATTACTTTGTTCATATGTATAAATATAAGCACAAGCGGCTTTTGCACATTTATGATCTTTACAATATGCACAATCAATTATTTTTCGACGACCCGAATATGGATTTTCTTTTGATTCACAACATTGTAGTTTTGTACGTCGTTCATCAAATTCATTATAAAAATCTTGTCTTATTCTACGAACTAAATTTTGTACTTCAATTGTAGCTGAATCTTCAAGACTACCTTTTTTACTTCCACCTGCTGATGCATCCATTGATTCACAACGACATAAAAGATCAATTTCATCTTGAAAACGATATAAACTAATAATTTCAAGTAATTCACTTCGATAGATTGAATATAAAGATTTTATTTCTGAAAGATATTTTTGATAATTTTCATGTGTTATTAATTGATCAAGTGGTTGTTCATAAATTGTTGATATGTTTGATTTTTTTCTCGTTTCATCAAATTCTTGATCTTTGATATCTATACCAGAAGCTAATGCAAGTGCTAAATGTATATGATGTGGATTACCATGATTACTTATTGCACGACTCCAACCTATGACAGCACGACGTGCTGAACGATATAATTTACCTGAAAAATAAACCACATACACAATTAATTTTCCGAAGTGTACTATTAAGATAAAAATTTGAAATTCATTTGTAAAACGCAGTATTCTTGATTCAGACTGGATAAATCTTGACGAGTAGAGGAAAATTTATTATCTGTTATGCTGTTTTCTATGGGATATTTGAGATTATAATGATCCTTATTTACGTCCCTATTATACTAAGATGCTGTGTGTGATCAAGCTGAATACTTTTTTTTGGGCACTAGTAACGCATGTTTGTTTTTTGAATAAAACTATCAAAAGTCAGCAGAAAAATAAAAATTATAGTTTATATGCAAAAAAAACAAAAACTGACAGTTCGATCGAATACACTAGGCGAGAGAAACGATAGAAAACTAAAAAGTTTAGGCCACAAATGGAAGGAGGTGTTGTTGATAGTAAAAGCTAGAAAAAAAAATATTTGATTAGCTGAAGCACTTTACTATCAGGAGACGTACTAATCAAATTTTCATTAACAGATTACGGCGAAAGGTTGTCGGAAAATCGACACTCTTCAAGACCAATTTATTCTATTTATGAAAATCATATTGCAAACAAACTTATTTGATTGAGAAAACATTTCTGAACAACATAAAATATATCTAAGCTCTGTTTGATCTATGTCCAGCGAATTGCACTCATTGTACGTAAAACACAGTAAACAGCATTTCAGACCTATCAGCCAATGATTATCGTTCATTGAAGATAGGTCGTGGAAATAGATATCGGTCAAATGATGTCACCCGAACCACGACCAAGACGTTTATCGCTAGGGATATCTTTTATGGTGGTGTAAGATTATTAGAGGTCATGTAAAATGTCTCAGGCTCATTGATTCTACTAGGTAACGAAATTGCACATTTCACTAGCGTATGTATTATTAAGCGCGAAGCGAGAACTGAAAACAACTCACCCCGCTCGCGACTATATAGAGAGCTTGAGAACATCTTATTCTGTTCAGAAACGTTTTCGATAAAATCCAGAAAAGTGATCTTAGTTTTCAGAGACCTCTTACTTATATCTGTTAATAAAACTTTGACAGTGAAAGAGAAGAAGAGCGAGTTTTTTTTACTACGCCGTTTAATAAATTCTTCTTTAACAAAAAGAAAAAATATTTACCGAGAATACGTTCTGATGGATAATATTCTTTTTTACCACGTCCTTTCATAAAATCTGGCCATTTGCTGTCTAGTCCTTGTCTAAGTTCAACAATTTCCTCATTGGTTAACGGATGTTTACCAGTTTTTGCAGCATCTACTTCTTGTGAAATAGCTCCAGCTAAATATGTACATGTTTCTGATTTGATACCATATTTATCTGCATAAGCTAAATGAATATTTGATAATGTTCCAAGACAATCTTGTTCACTAACTTCCATAACAACTTGATTAATATCATCTCGTGTGATTGGACGATTCATTTTCGGTGGATCTTCTTGAGAATCATATTCATAAGGTGTTTCATTTGGTGTTTGTGGTATTAAATCTTCATGCCATATAACGACATATTCATCACCTAAAAAAAAACAAAAAATAAAAAAACAAATTCTTTTCTTCTTTTATAAATATTAACCATCTAAATCAGATCCGGATATTTCATTTGAATGTGGTCGAGGACCTTTTTGTGGAAAAACGACAACATCTTTTAAATGTCTTAATTCAGGACGATCAACAGCATCAAATGTTCGTAAATCACCTGGATGATGACATGGATTTTTTGTAATAACAACTTTAGTTGTTAAAATTTCACATCGACCAATATTATTTTTTCTTATATAGTCTTCTTCTTCGGATAAGTATAATTTATTATCACGCATCACTGTATATTGAATAAAAACTTGCCCATATTCTAATACACCATATTCATCAACAATACCAAACATATTTCTTGCTTTTTTTTCTGATATACGTATTCTTGTTCGATCAATTAATTCACGCATAATATTAAATGCACATGTTATAATTAATTTAATAAAAAATTGTTCTTCAACAATATTTATATGTCGAGCTATTTTACGTAATTGAAATACAGGTAAGACTTTTTCTTGTAATAATTCATAGGCTATGGATGGTGTTAATAGACAACGAATAAGCCATAAATGATCTTCATTTTGTAGACAAAGAAATGTTGTATGAGGTATATCACGACTTTCAAGTAAAACAATATCTTGCCGATTGAGATAAAGAGGACCTAAGTATTTATATCATCAAGTATTTTATAGATAAAATTTGATTTGAATTTGCTAATCTCTGCGTCGCTTATTAAATTTCGAAATCGCCTGATTGAGTTAGTTTGAACCTATTTTTCTTATGGGTCTCGAATAGAAAATTTGAGTCGCTCAATTTGACGAGAAAAATCCCAAATCGATTAGTTGCTTTTAAGTTAGAACTATGTGCTTAATCGGAAAACAAATGAGTTTTGTTTATCTCAAAAAGAGTTCAAGCCTTTAGTGTATGACAGCGGAGTCACTGCAAATTGATGGTAGTTTGTAAATGAATACGGTGATCTCCCTCAGGTATGTCAAGAAAATTGATTTTCAAACTTATGTATGAGCTATGTGAACGACATGGATTAAACATAGCTGTATCTTAAGTTACGAACAATAGCAAGATCTTGATGTTCCCCCTCAAAGGAATCAGAAACCGAGCCAAATCATGTTTCGTTTGTTCGAGTTCGGTTTGGTTCAGAAAATTAAAGAATTTCTTCATTAGGAATGTCAGAGTTCTTGTTCCTGATTATTTTACTCTTTGAAATTAATGAGAGAATAAAATATACGTTTGAGTTCATTTGTACAGAAAATTTTTCTTTGTATGATAGAGTTCAGACTGGACAAGTATGAACAATTTTTAGCTCGCTCTCTATTAGTCGCATTCATCACAAAATGAATCAATTTCAAGACCTACTCCATATCATCCATCTCAGATATACACTTCTAATTCATAGATGATTTATTAGTAATAATACACAAAGCGTCATCATTTCTGTTCTAAAAAAATGAAACTCTATAAGAGTTTCTTATCTTCTCAATAGAAATTACTTACGTGGTGCTGATAATTTACATAATTCAAGTATATCATGATCAGTAGTAAATTTATTCATTGAATCTCGAATTTTTAATTGATATTGTTGATTATCAAGATTTGGATCAACTGAGAATGTACCTTTACAACCACCATAACGAATTTGTAAAACACTAAAATTATAACGATGTTTCAAGAAATCTTTTATCTATTAAAAAAAAAAAATGTTGAGAAATAAAATATTCATTAAAATAATTATTCTCCTACTTCATCACGAAGTTGTGTTGAAATTGTTCCAACACCATCAGTAAATGTATACTTCTTTGTTGCATCTTTTATATCACGTTCATAAGTGACTTTGTCTGCAGTAATCTAAAAACAATATAAATCTTTAAGTTATTCAACTTGATTCTTATAAGATCATTATCAACATTTTCTGGTTCGGTTAAGTCCAAGACCAATCTGATGGACTCTAATGAGCGATATAAAAGATATACTTTTATCATAGCTGTTTCGTAAGATAGGGACAACTCAATAATCTAAAATTTTTCCAGTAAGCTATTCCTCTTAATTTCTAAGTCTATGTCGCTAGACTAGAACATCCCGTTTGTATCCAAGCTCGAAAAAGTTTGAGGATATGATTCCGAGTCCTTAAATTTTGAACCCAAAGGACGTATATATTAGTGTATAATATCTTCTTCCATATTCTTATAATACTAATAATTTTTCTAACCTGAATTGTTGCATCTGTACTTGTAAAACAAAGTGCAATACGTGCAGCATGTTTAGCTACAATACGTTCTTTATCAAAATTTCCCATCCAAATATAAGCATCTTCATGTGAAAGATATCCATGTTCTTTATCATGATAATAAAACCAAAATTGTTTACATTTGACTTGACTTTGAGAATGATGTAAATATTTATATCTTCGTTCTGGTGTTAACAAAAATCCATTTGTTAAATAATATAATATTTGATTTTTTAATGAACGAAATTCACTAGGAAAAAGTAAACGTTGAGCTTCATCACGTAATTCAACAAGTGCAAAATTTAAAAACCCACCAAATCGTTTTTCACGAAGAACACGATTTAATTTACATAATTTTAATGGACGAATTTTTATTGTTGTTGGTGTTAAAACAACTGATGGAATATATGCTGTTGATGTTGTCAATTGATTAAATGTAATTATTTCAGATTTCTTTTTTTTTGATGATTCATATTTATCTTTATTTTTTTTTGATCGTTCATATTTATCCTTATATTCTTTAATACCTATTTCAATTTCTTTATCTAAATCAAGAAAAAAATATTCTGATGATCGACGATGTAAATATAAACATAAACGATAAAAACGATCATCTATTTCCAATGAATCTTTTTCATCATACATTAAATTAGAATATTCACGTAATTGATTTATGAATTTTTTCGTTAAATTTAATTGAATTTGTGCACGAAATCCAATATTACATAACATAGCCCATGAATATGATTGAGTAAATGTTGAAAATCTGTGAGCTTTAAGTGTACTTAATTGTTCTAATGATATATTTCGTGAAAATATTGGACCAAAACAAACATGTATACGATTTTCATTAAAAAAATCAAAAAAATTTTTAAATATTTCTCGTATTGTTTTTAATGATTCATTACGAGTCGTTTGTATAAGACGATCTTTTTGATTAGATGGAAGATCTTTAAATGTTTTATCATTACGTTCCAGAATTTCATTTATTGCTTGATCATATTTAAGTTTTATACGTATACGAATTGTTGAAAATAGAGGCATGATTTCTCTATCATATTTTCCTTGACGTGTAAAATTATCAAAATTAATATTTTCATTAACTTTTGGTTTTATTTGTCGATGAAACTCATGAATATTTCCTTTCATATTTATAAACAAATCAAATCCATCATTTCGTAAATAAAAAATAGCAGTACGATCAATAATATCAAGTGGTATTTTATATTTTCGTTGAGCTCGATTTAAATCCGTGGAATTGTTTAATTGTAGAAATTCATTTGTGTGAATTTCAAAAAATTCATCACGAAAACGTAATGACCATTTAGTTCTTTTACGAAATAAATAATCTTTATCAAGATAAAAACGATTCATTGATGTTAATGCACCATATGATAAATCAGCATATATACCACGATCAAATGAAATAAAAATTCCTTTTGAAGAATCAGTTTGTTTGGAAATTTTATTACGAAGTATTGAATCATGAAATGTTAGTGAATGTTTAAACATAAACCAAAATGGTCGATTATCTTCATTATTTATTTCTTGAGGAAAAAGATCTAGAAGATTACATGAAATAGATTTTTGTAATTCTATTGAATAAATATATAAACCAAAGCTCCATATATCATAATTAGGTTTGACTAAGTCAATATTGATATCAGATTGTATTTGTTGAATACGTTTACATGCATGATTATAACCTTTATCATCCGAATCATCTTTATCGATAATAATTGATATTTGAGAAAATGTTGTACGAAAATCGATTAAAGGAGATGTTACACGAGGTGCACGACGTTCATTCTAATACATAAGAAATATTTGAGTATTTATTTAAAAACATACACATCTATTTATTTTTATCTTTTAAATTGATGCTATCGATCTGGATACTTTCATCAATTATCCCGGTACTACTAATATTATTGAAAAGAAGAATATTGTTAAAGATTTACAATTAATAATTTATAGAATGATTTAAATATGACTGAAGCAGATATTTTTAAATGATTGAAGTCAGCTAAATATTCACGTTTTTCCTTAACTTTAGTATTACCGACATCAAAGTATAAAGTAGATTATTGATTTTTAAATAACTTTTGATAGGGCATCGTCAGGAACTCAATATTTCGAATAGAACATTGAGAACTGTGAATCAGAGATGTTCATCGCGGTTGAAAACTGACCGCTGCCGCGCCGCGACGATAAAAGAAAAAAGCTAACGCGCCGCTACCGCACCGCGGTGATAAAAACAGAAAACCTACCGCAACGCTGCCGCGACGCCACCAAAAATAACCATGCCGCTACCGCGCCGCTGCCGCGATTGTTAGTTAAAAAAACGACCGCTGCCGCGCCGCACCGCGATGGTTATTTGAAAAAAACAGCCGCTACCGCGCCGCCACCGCCACATCGGCAGCGGTCGCGCCGCGATGGACATCTCTGCTGTGAATTTAGCTCAAAGTTTTCATTGATCTAACATTTGACTAATCAGATGAGTAGTATTTGCAGGAGATTTTTAAAACGGTTTTATAGAAAACGTTCCTGTTCAAAAGTTATTAAGACTTTTCCAAAGATGCCATCTGCGATCTAATCATATTGAATAACTTTGCAAGAATTCAATGTAAAGTTAATTTATCATACGAAATTGACTGCTAAAATTTATTTTCAATTGTAAAACTATCAACTCAAGACTTTTTAAATATCAACTCTCTATGAACAAAATAATTTTAAGAAAGAAAGATCAAGAAGGAATCCCTTGGATGTGAAAACGAGTGTTCTTTTTTCATGATTCATCAATGTGGAACATATTCATAGTCAAGAAGGAAAAGACAAATCAATTCTCATTGAATGCATTTCTATACAATAAAAACTTATTGCTTGCGTAATAGTTTTAGACGATTTCGAAACTGAAAATAAATGTTGATAGTCGGCTCAGAATGATGAATCAGCCATATTTTGCCCTTTATAATCGCCGATGTCCTCTTTTGAATAATGAAATTCTTATGCCTCTATGGAAATCTATATATATAATGTTCAGTGTGTGTCTGTCTGTGCCGGGTCAAAGGTCAGATAAGGGGAAGGTTGTAAGGGCTGTTATATATGAGGGCACTCATGGGTCCTCAAGGGCTATTACATGGAGGTACCCCTGGGCCCTCAAGGGCTATTATATGGGGGTACCTTTGGGTCCGCAGGAACTATCCTATGGGGGTACGTCTGGGTCCTCAAGGGCTATCCTATGCGAGTACCCATAGGTGCTCAAGGGCTATTCTATGAGGGTACCCATAGGTCCTCAAGGACTATTATATTGAGGAAGCCACAGGTCCTCAAGGGCTATTGCATTGTGGTACCCACAGGTCCACAAGGGCTATAAGGCTATAAGGGAGTAGGGAATAAGGAGATAAGGATATAAGAGTAAAGGGGATAAGAGGCTAAGGCTACATGGCCTTTGGGGATAAAGCTAAAAGAGTATAAGGGGATAAGGGTATATGGTATAAATGGATAAAGCTGGAAAGGATATAAGGGATAAGGAAATAACGGAATAAGGCTAAAAGAAGTACTACAACAAGAGTATGAGTCTACAAGGGTATCAGGCTGTACGATCTCTCTCTCTCTATATATATATAATGCGAACTGGGTTTTTGTCTATTTTCCAATCAAGGCTAAAGGACAGAAGTAAAACTTCACAGGAAAAAAACCATCCGTGCAGTATGCACGGGCTCTCGCTAGTATATTCAAAAAACATTGATCTGCCTTATATTAATTACGTCGAAGTATATGTAAGTAAGTTAAGAAAGTAGAGAGATGACTGATATACGTTTCGAACATTAGAACTTTTCATACTCTGAAATCGAAGAGTATATTTTTGAGGCAAACGATAGTGAATCAAAGTTTAAATCGAGATTTTTATACTCCGCCCTCTTTAGAGAGCTTAGCAGTCGGAATGAATAAAAATAAAAATAAACACAGTTTCTTATGTTTAGCATGAATTGATTCATTTCTAACTTGCAGGAATCATTAATATCAGTGTTTTAGAGTTCATCGAAATACGATTTTTATGCTTTGCATACTTTTTTGTTACTATAATGAAGCTAAAGAAAACATATCAATTCCAAATTTTCGTCTCAATGGAACTGCATTAACAAATTCTTTCTTTTTACAAAGATTACCAAACTATTGATTAGATTCATAAATAATTTTCGTTTTACCTGTACTGTTGGGTCTGCTCGTTTTCTATAATATGATTCCTCAGAAAACAAAAAATCATATTTTTAGAAAAAAAAAAACAAAGACGAGTCAAATATTAATATTACTGGTAATCTTGCTATTCTTGCAGGTTGTGAATAATAACCATTTTGTGGTTCAGCATCAAGAATACGTGCTGGTGGTAACACCTCTTGATTATATTCATTAACAGCGTTTCTTACGAATCGACCACGTCCAACATTTGTAGGAGGCTATTGTTAACAAAAAAAACTATTCATGTATACATTAGTATTATATATCCTAACTTGTAGATAAGTCGTACGACTTTCTTCAATAATATCTGAAGTACTTTCGTCAAAACCACTATCATGGGTATCTTTATCTTCATCATCATATATATAAGATTCTTCAGGTTCATTTTCAATTTTATTTCCTTGTTGAATTTCATGATTTAATACTTCATCAAATATTTGATCATCTTCAGAATCTTTAATAAGATCATCATCTTCTGTAATATTCAATTGATCATCAAAAGTATCAGATATTATAATATCTTCATATGGTAATGATTCATAAATATCATCAGTCAATGAATCCATGTTTTTTAATAGAAAATTTATGTTAGATAATATGAAAACATTAGTCTTTTGTTTTTTTTATTTCGTGTATTTATAGTTCTATCATTTTGTTAATATTCTATTTCATAACTGGAGAAATACCCAGTGTGGGAATGAATTTTCATTATATTTTAATCTGAAAGTTAAATATCTTTTAAATTTTCAATGGTTAATCTAGAATCAATCAACATTTAGTATATAGATGTCATTAGTATTATACTCTACCAATGATTAAAATTATTTTTGCTACCCAGACAACTAATGGATCTGAGAATAAATCATTTTCTAAGTTAACTTGACAGATCAAAATGATGTAACTTTTACTTCATGATGTAATAAGACAAAGGTCAGAAAAGGTCATAGTGTGCATATACGTGAATATTTGATTAAAAATAAAAATTACTCTTTTTCAAGATTTAAATATACACTTCATTTTTAGTCTCTTAAATTTGAGAACATTGAAATTAAAATCAGAATTTTCTGTTCTTTACGATTGTGAATTCATACTCTTTGTAGAACTTCTGATTTAAATATAATCAGTTGATTTTTTAGAGATTTGTAACTTGAATTGGGACAAATAAAAATTGACGTTTTTTTCTGCAGTAACAAATCTATTACTTATTGTTTTTTTTTTGCATAGAATTATAAATGAAATCATTCTCTACTCAAGCGACGTAACAATCAACAGTTTCAGAAGAATCATTCAAAAATGACCGAATTCACTTGACAAATATTTTGTCTATAAAAATTAAAATGACTAAAGTAGAGGTCGACTAGCCCCAAATTCTAGGTTTAGATTAGAGAACATTTTCAATACATTCCTCAGATCCATCGAACTAGAACTGAAGTTGTCGACCTCTAAATCTGACACGATGGGGGTTACAAAATACTCCACTATTAATAAATCACTTACGAGAGAATCGTTTCAAGTGATAAATTATTTTTCAGTTAGCACACTATCCATAAGGTAAACTTCAATGAGATATGAAAAGTGTCCGTAGACATTCGCTCTAGAGTTACAGCCATTTGGTTGAAATTTTAAGTTTTATCATGGCTTACTCAATAAAAAATTGAATGACAATATTTCTATTTGAAATTTCACAAACAGACTAGGATATCCTGAAAACACAGCTCAAATTTTGCAAGAGTTTTTCATCCGAATAAACCAATCATTATTATATATCATCTCATCAAGAGATATTTATTCTTTTATTTCCTGTATTTGAAATAATATTTGCTCAACTATGCTTTGTGGATGTTTATACAAATCTTTTATATGTCCTAACCGACACTTTCGACAAATTGTTCAATCATCAGAATAAACACTTTGTCTAAATAATTTTTGATCATTAGTTATTTGATTTCTGAATTGTTTTTAATGACAACAAAATTTTTATTTAATAATTACATCTCTTTTAATACAATAAAATATCAATAATTAAATAATACAAAGAAACAATAGACTAACTATAAAATTCTAGATCACTATCATCTCGATTAACATTTATTCTTGGTGTTGTTGATGTTGAACTTATTGATTTAAGATTTTTCTTTGATTTAGCTGTTATTGATGATGATGATGATGATATATCATCATCATCATCCATGATACCACCAGATTTTAATTTATCTAACCATGAAGATGATGATGATGTTGTATTTGTTTTAATAATATGTTGTATAGGTTGTTTTTTATTTGTTGATATATCATCATCAGAACTTGAATGTTGTATACCAACAATTTTTTCAAGAATATGTTTTAAAAGACTTTTAGCTTTATCATATAAATAAATTGAATTATTTGGTAATAATAATGGTGCAAATTTATTAGTTAATGTTTGTGAACTCATTATATGTAATTTTAATAAACGTATAAAATGATCAATTAAACGTGTCCATAATGAACGATCTTGTTCAGGTAATATTTTTGTTATTATATCTTTATCTAAATCTTTAATATTTGATGAAAGTATATCTTCTGTTAATAAACATTTATTTATTGTTGTACGACGTATTGTTGATGATAATTGATCAAGTATAACCATTGATGTTGTTGTTGGATCAAGATCTTCTAATGCATTTCGTTTTTGTTCATTAGCTATATCTAATATTGTACGTTTTTGTGTTATAGTTGGTGGATCATGACGATAAAATTTTTTTTTATCAATTGTATCAATTAATTCTCTTTCAATATAATCAAGTAAAAAATAAAGACCTGTACGATGTAATTCCATTCGTAATGAACCTGAATGTTTTGAACGTGAAAATGTATTTGATGTTGTATCAGATATTGATTGATCATCTTGTTGTTGATTTTTTATTTCTGGATTGGTAATAGATAAATTTGTACGATCTAAACCGGTTTTTAATTGATCTTCATAACGTTTATATAATAAAGAAGAATCAATATTATCGGATTGATGAGTAGTAGTTGGTACTAAATGAAAGAAAAAAAAAACTTTTTTTAAATATAAAATTAATGATGTACTAGTTATTACTGTGTCGAAAATTTCCATCATTTTGTTGTTGACGTAAACGATCATAATCATCTATAGTATTATTAACACTTGTATATGCTCCTGTTGATACATTTTTTTGTCGATTAGAATAACTTGATTCTAAATATTGTAAATAATCACTTTTTAAACGCATTAAGTGTTCAGTATCAATACGTAATTGAGCTAAATTATGTTCAGCTTGTGTTAAATCATTTAATAAATTTAAATTACGTTGTTTAGCTCGTTGAGATTCTTCATTAAGTTTTGTAAAATATGATTGAATATGTTCAATTTGTTGTCGTTGTTTTAAACGTGAATCAATACTTGATAATGAACGTAATTTTTGTTCAAGTTGAATACGTTCTTCTTCATTTTTTAATATTTTTGAACGTGAATTTGCAGCTTTTTTATGATAATCAGCTAATACTGGCGCCATCGATGATGATGATGACGATGGATTCATCTTAATTTTTGTCTGCTAGCAACAAAAATAGCAACGGCAAAAGAGAAAAGAAACAGTGCTTATATATATATATATATATTAACGTCGCGAGATAAAGGTAAAACAGGCTGGTCACATTCTTACCTTTTTCTATTCTTTGCTTTTTTTTTCTTTCTTATTTCTGTAAGGTTGTCAAGAGTTACCGTTGTGTTACTATCTCACTCATATTGGTTTAATTTGACAGAGAAAGAAGAAAAACAGAAGTTCGTTAATTCAAAAAGAATTGTATATATGAAAACTTCAAAATAAATACACGGTCAAAAAACAAAAGTATAAACAAGCGGCTTACAAAGGTTTGTTTGATTAAGCATAAATGCCATAATCATACTTTTCATTATAATCTTTGAATTTTGTGTATTGTATTTAAATGAGCATTAGACAAAATTAGGTTATTTTTTTTTTTCGATTTTTGTTTGTTTTATTTTTTTGTTCCTTTTCGAGGTAGTATATGTTTACATATATAGATTGATTTTTTTACATTTTTTAGGCATTTTGTTACATATAAAGTAAGATGGCAAAATTTTTTTCACGTTTATTCAGTAGTGGTTCATCATTTCGTGGTTCACAAACATCACTTTCTGATCCTCATAATCAAAGTAAAACATCCAGCAATAGTCGTACAGCATCATCACTTGAAAATCTTGCATCATATCATGTTATATCAAAAGAACTTGAAAAAAATAAATTACATAAAGCAGCATGGGAAGGAAATCTTAAAAAAGTTCAACGTCTTGCACGACCAGGTCAAATTAATGTTAGAGATCAACAAAAGCGTGTATTTAATTATTTTATTTTATTTAAAATTTTTATTTTATTCTTAATATTTTTTTGTTTTTCTTTAATAGACTCCATTACATTTAGCTGTTGTTAAAGGACATATAGACATAGTCAAATATCTTGTTGATGAAGATGCAAAATTAGATGTCGTTGATAATGAACAACGAACACCATTAATTAAAGCTGTTCTTAGTGGTAATCAAAATATACAACGCAATTATGAAATATGTGAAACTTTATTAAAGGGTGGCGCTGATAAATGTAAGAGTTACAGTTTCTTTTTTTAAAATAATATATACACGTTTACAGATTTTTTAATATATAGTCTTTTACGAACGAGATTTTTTCATTCTTTAAGGCATCTTAACTAAAATTTTCTCTAAGATCGGACTCTTATTAAAAAAAAAAACTTTCACGTTAAAATCGGTTTTATAGAAATTTTATAAAATCATAAAACAACAAAATTTTTATTTTATCATCATCTAGAGATTTTGAAGAAGGATTCTCATTTTGATTATAAGAACTTTTTTTGTTCATTTTTATGTTCATAGTCTATCACATCGATAACAAATGATTTTATCCTTACAATGACTTTTTGAAGAAACCCACACTCTCAGACATTCTAGAACATCACATACGTTTTTGATGTACAATCAAAGATTGTATATCACTAGCATCTCGTTCTATTCTCCCTAGTGAATGTACTAAGTCTAGAGTACCATGCTACAAAAATCTTTTGAGTATTTTATGAGCTTTTAACACTTGACTAAAAAAGTGTTTTTAAATGCTCAATTCACTGATTTGTAAAAAATTTCTTTTTGTCGAATGTTATAGAAACTAGACAGATATCCATTACGTGTCCTGACACGGAGATAATTTTCAGTCGGGTATTGGAAAAGGTACCCTTCTAATTCTTTTTTGTATTTCTGTAGATTTTAGTAAAACAATGCTGAAGAGGTATATTTTCAACTAAAATGAATAATACAATATCTCTATGATTAGTAACATCAGCTATAGCATGTTGCATATTTTAATCCTACAGAGCTTGCACTAATAACTTCTTTTTTTTCTCTTATATGTAATCATTTATAGCAATAAATTCAGTTGATAAACATGGAAGAACTGCTTTACATTATGCAATTGATTTTGGAAATGAACGTCTTGTTGGTCTTTTTCTATCAAATGAAAATTGTGATCCTAATTTTAAAGATCATGATCAAATGACACCATTACATTTAGCAATAAAACGTAATAGTTCAGCAATTGTTCATTTACTTTTATCTGAACAACATGATCAACAAGCTGATCCAAATATTGTTAATCGTTTTGGACAAACACCATTACATTTAGCAGCTAGTGTTGGTTATGTTGATATTATTCGACTTTTACTTTTATCTAATCTTAATGAACCATGTGATCCAACAATAGTTGATTCACAACAATTAACAGCATATGAATTAGCTAAAAATAATCATCATGAAATATGTGCAAAATTAATTGATGAATATCAAGAAAAATGGTTTAAAAAAACACCAAAAAGATTATTATCAACATCATTTAATGAACAATCATCAATAAAAGCAACAAGTTCAATATCAATGCATCCAAAAGCTAATCTACAACGTGAAAATGATGCAACAAGTGAAGATTCATCATCAATGTCAATAAATAAACCATTAAAATTTTCACCAAAAAAAATACCACGATTAAGTGATCAATGGTCTGATGATAATGCTCTTTCAGCAAGTGAATCAAAACCTGTTTTACATGGTTTAATTAAAAATAATCCAATAAAACCTTATACTAACCAAACAAATAATGAAAATTCTGCATTGAATAGTCTTCTTCATAATAATCCATTACAACCTCATAGTAAACAAACAAATGTAACAAATAATGAAAATTCTACATTGAGTAGTCTTGTTCAACATAATCCATTACAAATAAATACAAAAAGACAAGCACCTACAGGTAAAATTAAAATTAATCTAGCATGACTAAAATAAGAATAGAATATTTTTATCATATTTTGACCGAATGAATAAAGAAAAAGATTGATATTTTCTGGTAAAGATAAATTATAAATTCTAGATTATATATAATATTAATTATCACTTTGTTGTACAGAAAATTCCTTTAAAAAATGATGATACTACGCTCAAAATACTTCTACATTACAATAGATAATACTACAGTTTAACTTTATCAATAAGCTAATGATTTCTGAATCTTTGAGTGTCGTATTACATTTATCATTTGTTTATGCTAATACATAGACTAAAAACAACTAGATTTCTGACATTCTAAATTTCGAAAATCGAACAATTCTGTTCTATTTTAGGGAACAGCATCACCGGTTTAAAAAAAAAGAAACTTCAACCTTTATTATATTGTTGAAACTTTTTCAATATGAACTCTACGCGATATAGTTGCATTTAGTATATGTATTAGAAATAAAAATAATGATAAACGAATGCTAATATCTTAGTATTAACTAACTCTAATGTAAATAGTATGAAAGCATTATGAGTTAATTTTAATATTAATGCTAATTTGAAAATTTTATTTATGAATAAAAAACTTACAAGTTTATTATCAAGAAAATAAAATTAGTTGAGTTTGTTCATTAGTTTGTTTTTTATGAGCTATATTAGAGAATAAGTATACATTACTTGAAATAAACAGTATCATTACATTCTTGAATGTTTAATTATCTTTTGTTTTTTTTTTAATTAGCTCAACGAACACAATCGTCATCGATTTTTGGTATTCAACCAGCATTTGATCGTAAAGATAGTGATAATACATCGACAAGTATATCAAATGAAAAATTACCTAAATCTGTACAACCAATATTAGAAAAAAAACCTATAACATCAAATATATATGTTAATACATTACCACAACAAACATCAAATACAAAATCTTGGTCGGATGATACAATAACAGTACCTGTTACACAAATAAAAAAAATTGAACGACATAGTGAAACATGGGATACATCAACATCTGAAGATGATAATATAAATACATCTAAACCACAACATACATCCAATATTCTACAAAAAACACTTCCATTTTCACCATCAAAAGATGATTTAACAGATTCTAATAGTGATAATAATTCAGTTAATACAGAAATTCGAAATTTTGACATTAATAAAACAGTTATTCAAAATTTAGTTAATACAAAAATTGGAAATGGTTATAGAGTAATTGGTCCAACGAAAACTCAATCACCTATAAGTGATGATTCTTCATGGACAACAACATCTGTAAAAATGAATAAAGAATCAACAATAAATACAAAAGGTATTACTAATCTAGTACAACAAATAAAAAAAGATGAATCAACATGGGATAATTCTCATTCATTAACTACTAATTTAAAACAATCAAAAGTACAAACAAAAGGTATTGAAAATCGAATACAACAAATAAAAACAGAAGAATCAACATGGGATGATTCTCAAGTATCAAGTCATAGTTCGAAACAATCAAAAGGTATTGATAATCCAGTAAAAATTATGGATACAAATGTACATATAAAATCATCAAATCGGTAAATTTTCTTTTTTTTAAACAATATGCTTGTTTACTTTTGATCTGTTAGAACGAGTTTTCGACAAATTAAGACTTATGCTTCTGAAATATTTTTGTTCGAGAATAATCCTTGAAAAATTTTATCGATAAAACTTTCAGTAAGACTACGTTATGTGCAAAAAATTTCAAAATTTTTTTGATCGAATATCTCTTAGAAATGTATTTTTGTTAAGAATTCAAGCAGTTAAATATTGATCCTATGTAAAACATGCATATTTTTGAAAGTTGTAAATTTAATCGAAAACTTCTAAAAAAATTTGTGCATCACTAAGATCTTTGTCTGGGTAAAATTTTTCAGTTCAAAATTCGAATATTTTGACTATTCTTTATTTATTTTAAGACCAACATCATCGAACATCGTCGGTAAACTTATTACAACTTCTATGTCCGAACGTGCTGATTCAATAATATCTGAAAATACTTTACATGAAGTTGATAATGATGAAGATTATGAACGTAGGAATAATTTTGTTGTTCTCTCATTATCCTATGTAAAGTATTATTTTTAATTTTAGCAAATTTGAAAAAGAAAACCGACGAAGCACTTGTAACATCTATAAAAGATCATAGTTCTAAAAAAATACAACATTCATCATTACCTTATGATGGTAATAATTTATATGGTTCAATATCATCAACAAAATCATCGTTTAATAATGTATGATTATAAATAAAAAATATATTATTTATTTGTTTTTTTATTTTAAGATACAAATAAATGAATTAAAAGAAAAGATTGAAAAACTTGAACGTAATCAAGAAGATACACAAGAATTAAAACGACAATTAAAAGAAATGGAAAATAAAAAAAATAATTTTGAAAAATTATATAAAGAAAATGATCAAATGTTACGTCAAATTGAAAATAAATTAGAACAAGAAAAAAATGAAAAACAACGTTTAGAATGGACAACAAAAAATTTAAATATAGAATTACAAAATATTAAACATAAACTTCAATCATTAGAAGATGAAAAAGATTTATTAAATCAACGTTGTATTAGATTAAAAGAAGAAAGAGATAATCATGGTAAATAAAACGAATACTAACAAAATTTGTTTTAAAACTAAGAGAAAATCTTACATAGATCAATTAATATTTTATTTCTCAGAAAAGTTTGAAATCAAAATTTCTTATATTATAGAAATAGATATTAAGAAATTCAAATTAATTCGGAAAATTAAGAATAATGTTTCATAGAGTGACATAAAATTGGAACTTTGATCGAGATGATGAGCTTCGGGTGAACTGACGCATTACTTCAGCTTTTGGTACGACTTGAGACAATTGTTGATTTATTAAAAGTTTTAAATATAATGAGTATAGAACCATTAGATACGAATAGTTTTTCAAAGGATCTGTGATTTTCATCCAAAACTTTGCCCAAATAAAGGTCTCAATTAGCTTGTACTATACTTATAGAAAAGTACCTATATTTTGAAAAATTCATATGTCTAACGAGGGAAACTCTCCAAGTGTTAATCGCCGATCAAGCTCATAAGTAAGACTCGATGAGACTAGCAAAAGTCCGGAAGGATTCGTCCCCATACACTGTCCTTTCGGAGTTATGACAGTTTTACTGATTTTTCGACCTCTGGCAATATTATTTATACGGAAGCCCAACAATGGAATTTTGACCTAAAATTTTGTCCATGAACAGATCTCATGGTCATTAGAATGTCTTAAAAGTTTCAGTTAAAATGAACGTTTCTTTCTCATGATATTGAGTTGCTAAAAAGCTCGATTATTTTTACCTTTGCCTTTGAACTATGATCGTTCCTTGAAAAGTCAATGTCTTGAGAAAGAAACGTTCATTGTAACTGAAAATTTTAGGACATTCTAATAACCATGATACCTGTTTATGGACAAAATTCCATTGTTGGACTTTCCTATAAATATCATTGCCAGAGGTCGAAAAATCAGTAAAACAGTCATAACTTCTGAAGGACAGCGTATGGGGACGAATTCTTTTGGGCCTCTGCTAGTCTGATCAAGTCTTACTTATGGACAACATATAAGCTCGATCAGCGATTAACACTTGAAGAAGTTTCCTCGTTAGAAAATCTTCACTAAAACATGAATATCTCATCCAAATCTCAATAAGAGCACATTTCTTTCTTTAGGAATCATTTTCATTTCGTAGTTCTCTACTTCTTCATTAAATCCGTGAGCTCACATACGAGATATCATCTAGGAATGTTCTAGAATTATTAGCTCACATATTCCATTGTAGATCAATTTTATATTTCTTCAAATCATCTATACATATAAACTAAATAAAAATCTTTCTTATTTCTATTAAGATGAAAAATTACGTATATTACAAGCAAATAGTTTACCAACATCAATACGAAGTTCACATCATGATGATGATATTGATAAAATTCAAGCTCGACATCGTGAAGAATTAAAATTATTATCAGCTGAAAATGATGATTTACATAATCGTACACAACAATTAGAATCTGATTTAGAATTACATAAAGAATCACTTGATGTAACTGTACGTTATAAAATTGATCTTGAAAAAGCATTAGAAGAAAAAACATTTTATCAACATGAATTAGATCATTTAAAATATGAAAAAAATCTTATTGAACAAGAAAAATTTGAATATAAAACTAAATATGATAGTTTACAAGATGAAATACGTATTATACTTTTGGATCGTTCAAAACTTGAACAAAAATTAACAAGTGAATTACAAGAACATTTAGAAGAAAAACAACGTTCAACGGATGATAAACAAAAATATCGAATTGAAATTGAACAATTAAATATTAAATTAAATGATGCTGAAACACGTTTACGTTTATTACAAACACAAAATGAAACATTACTAGTATCAAAAGATCGTAATATTAAAAATGAATTTGATTCACTTTCACAACGTCTTACACAAATTGAATCAAATAAATTAAATGCTGAACAACGTTATCATAATCAACATAATGAAATAACAAATAAACAACAACAACAACAAATTTCAAATCAACAATCTATTAATCATATACAAGATCAACATTCACAGTAAGAATTATTCTATATATATATAACAGAGATGTCCATCGCGGCTGAAAATCTGCCGCTGCCGCGCCACGGCCTTAGAAAAAAAAAGCTGCCGCACCGCGATGACTTATAAAAGAAACGCTGCCGCGATGAATTATAAAATAAGCGTGCCGCCACCGCGCCGCTGCCGCGACGGTTTTCAAAAAAGTGTTTCTAATTTCACTGCTGTGACTATATTTGACTAGAGATATAGGTACTAGTCCATCAGATTTATTCAATATCAGGGCGTTTCATTTGTAAATCCTGAAATTCTATTAAATTCATACAGTTTTTCAATGTCCTCCAAAAAAAATCCTGCCGTTGCCGCGCCGCTGCCGCGATGGTTTTTTAAAAAACCTGCCGCTGCCGCGCCGCCACCGCCATCGCGGCGCTGCCGCTGCCGCGATGGACATCTCTGATATATAATAATTTAATAAAATTTCATATTTTAATAGTTCTTCATCATGTAAAAATTGTAATGCAATTCAACAAAATAATAAACAACAATATGAATATCAATTACAAACTGAAAAAGATAATGAACATTTACGTCATACATTTTCATATCCAAAACAATATCAATATTTAAATAAACCATTTCTATCTGAACAAAACAATGAAAATTATTTAATAGAAAATTCAAGAAAAATTCGTTCTGATACAGAACGTGTTAAAACAGAACTTAATCGTTTACGTCAAGATTTTGATAATTTAATAACAAATTATGAACCAATTAATAATTATCAACAACAAATACAATTACATTCATCAATAGATACATTTCGTCAATTTTATGAAAATGAATTACGACAACGACAATTACTTATGTCAAAATTAACTTATGGATTAAAATCATCATTAACAGAAAATTATCATCAATTATCATCACCACCATATTTAAATCATAATCATTCATTTAATGATAATTGTACAATATGTACAAATAATCATTTTCTTCGAAAACGACTTGATACAGCTATTGATACAAGTTTAGCTGATCAACGTTTACAAAAAATAAAACAATATTCAACTATACCAAGACAAGCATCATCATTATTATCAATAAATACAATTAATAATAATGATATTATGTCATCTATGGAATTTTTACGTGAACGTTATTATGTTTGAATTTTTTTTCTAAATGAAGTACAGTGAATTTTTTTTTTTGTTTTTCTTTCTTTCTTCCATGTATAATCTAAGTGATAGTGTTTTTATTTCTTCTTTTAATACATCATGTGGTGCTTTGTTTTTGTTTTTTTTTCTCTCACTAATTAAAAAAAAAAAAATAATAAAGATAAAAATTATAAATATATATATATTCTTTCAGATTTATTAATGGATGGTGCTGGTAGTATTACATTTTGGGGTTATAGTCCTAGTCTATGTCTAACAAAATATATTGATAAACAATTAGAAAATTTACCTCTTCGACTTTTATTAATTGGTAATGGAGATATTCGTCATATATTTCATACATTAGCATTAACAAAATCACCAATACATATTTATATTCTTGAATCTCAATTAGAAATATATGCACGTCATTTACTTTTTCTTCAATTATTATTTACATCAATGAATCAAATTGGTTTACAAGAAAAATGTGAACATTATCTTGAATTATTTGCTAATTTACATATTAATACACATACAGAACAATATTTAAAAGAAGCAGCAACTCAACTTATTCAATATATAACAAATATAAATGGAGAATTTCAATTTGCATCTAATATAACAATTGATACAACATTATTAAAATATAAAGAAAAAGATTTTCTTGAAGGTATATTTCAATTTTGGCGAGTCTCACCTACTAAACAACCATTTCCAGCTGAATTAGCATGGGATGGTCGTGTACGACAATATTTAGGTATGTATAGTAAAAAGAAAATCACACAGTTTACTATACCATATTACTTCAAATTTGAATCCAACGACAAAATATTTATATAATACTTGACACTCTACAATTGCTTAAAGTGTAACGCAATACACAATAATTGACAGTGCAAAGCTTTTTATAGCATTTTACTGTACGATGTTTTATATAGTAGTACTGTAGAGTAGATTATGATGTAAATGAGTGTAAAATAATTTACGCTCCAAAGTACTGTTTATCGTTTACGATGTCAAGCAGTGTACAGTATTTTATGGCTTGAAGCACTGTATAATAATGTACGGTATGAAAGAGTCTACAATAATTTACAGTGCAAAGTATTCTCTGTTAGTCAATAGTGTAAAGCACTGTATATAGCCCACGGTCCAAAGTTCTCTATTTATAGTTTACAGTACGAAGCATTGTATAGTAGTTTAGAGTACAAAGTATTGTGTAGAGTGTCCCAAAAGTTCGATCGAAAAAGAAATGTAAATACTTTTCCAATAGTTTAAACAATTTGCGTCAGGTTTTTATAGGTTCATTTCATCTTTATTAAAGTTTTATTTCATATAAATTTGTGTTTGATACATGTACAAAATAATTATTTACGAATACAATACATACATATATCGTTTTGGAAAATGTCTATAAAAATGTCACATAAAATTTATTTCGATCTTATTATTGATTTTCATTTAACATTTGCTTAGTTGTGTAAGATCAACTGATTGTAATGTCCATTGAAATTTATTGTTATTTCTATCACATATACTAGCTGTATATAGTTAATGGTACAAAGTTCTGTACAGTAATTTATGATGTAAAGTATTGTATAACACTTTATGATGCGATGCACTGTATAATAGTTTACAGTGCTAAGCAGTGTACAGGTGTGTACAATGCAAAAGCTTTTTTTAGTAATTTACTGTGCGATGCGGTAGACAGTAGTTTAGAGTACAAAGTACTATATATAGTCAACGATACGAAGTTCTGTGCAGTAATTTACGATGTGAAACGCTGTACATTAGTTGACGACGTGAAATAGTATAAAAATAGTTTATGGTGTGAATCATTATATAGTTATGATAGTCTGAAGTACTGTATAGTACTTTACTGTACGGTGCACTGTACAACTAAGTGTTAACTACTGAGAAAACATTGCTGGTATACTGGTAAGTGTTTTTAGAAATACTGTATCATGGTATATTGTATCATATCTGAGCTGTTTGCAATAGCCGCAGAACTGAAATTGGCTCTAGCTATGCGATAAATTTTTTTTACTGAAGTTATTGCTGCAAAAATATTCATCAGTAGAATATGTTTTGAAATTGTTGTCTTCTCGATTAATTTAGATTCTTTCTAATAAATGATTCGAATTCGGATACGAAAACTGTCTGTAACCGTTTTCAGATAAAGCCGAAAGTCGTAAGTACTACGGCTGATTCTTATGAGTTTCGTAGTATATTGATCATAATGCGAACAAGTATGAGATACGAACAGTAGTCGGTCACTAATTTTCTTTAAATCAATACATAACTCGAAAGTACTGTATTCTGTCGGAATAATCTAAATATCGGAAGACTCTATAATTCTTGTTGAAAAGTTTTATGTTGCTATACGATTAGTTTCTTTTGAAACTTGACGATAAAATCCCGTTCGTTCTCAAGTCACTTCATAAAATGACGATTTTCAAGCGAAAGTTTTGATTTGTTTTTCAAAATAATGAAAATAAGTTTCAATAGCAACAGTAAGAGCTCATTAGATCAAATATTGCTGTCATTTTTCGAAAGTTTCATCCTATTCAAAATCTTTTAATAGTTACATTGTATTTCTCTCAGTGACAGAGAATCAAAATGAATTGAACATAAAGAAAATCAATGAAAGCCGAGTACAGACCTATTGTATACCGCAATACTATTAATTTCATGGATTTTTGATACAATATATACTATTTCTTAATAAATGATTTGTGGTGTATATAACTAAACATGCATTGTATTTATTTTGTACAATATAGAAACATATTTTTGTTACTAAATTCGACGTTTCGACTAATTCTAAAATTTTTAATCTCATCGATGATGAGTCAATTTTTCCTCATATTAAGATCAAAGAAATCTTAATTTTCATTTAGATTATTTTTAATATAAAACTTTTCTTTGAAAATTTAAAGGACCACGTTTCGATACTCGTCGTAATGCTTTTGATTGGGATTTACATATGAAATTATCTGAACGTGGTTTCAAACGTTTAAATGCACATGAATATGGTGATTGGCGTGAAAATGGTCTTGCTTTTCGTTTAACACATCAAGATTATATACAACCAAATCGAACACTTGCTTCTGCATTTGTTTTTCAAAATTCTGATGGTACTAAACAAGCTCGTCGTGGTTATTGGGGTGATATTATAACAGGACCATTTCTTGCACATGGTTTATTACCTATTGATAATGATGATCCACAAATGCAAACTAAAGCTAATGATAAATTTGTTAAAACAGCTACAGATGTATCTGAATATAATGTTCTTAAATTATTAAGTCATCTTCAAGAACAACATAATCAAATTAAAATAGTATTTTTACCATTAAATAGTATTTCAGATTTATGTACTGCTAGTAAAGAACGATATCGTCATTTACAATTTGATTTAATTTATATTGGTTGTGGCTTAACACATTATCTTAATGAACAAGGAGAAAATTTTTCATCAACAATTATGTCAAAAGATTCTACATTAATATTAGAATTACCAACATTTCTTCTTGATCTTAAAAACGAACAAATTGAACAATTAGAAAAACGTTATGATGAAATGGCAAAAAATATTGGTTGTATATTACAAGATAATGAAGAACTTAAAACTAATGCTTTTAAAATTTATAAATATAATCGTTCATAATTATTCAATAAAACTAACAGATAATTGTTAATTTTAAACTTTCTAATCTTTCGTTATGAAATTCTTGTTACAAAAAAAAAGGAAAATAAATTTTCTACAATAATTTTTATATTAATCATAATCGCAATTTGAGAAAGATCAATATATTTCTTAGACAACTCGTTTGAGAAATATGTAAAATTCACTAGTCATCGAATATTAAAAAAAATCGGAAAAAATTTTTTCGTATCGTCAGGGTGGTTATCTTATTTCAATGGAAATTATCAAAGTACGGTTAGATCTTAACAATAGAACCAAATCTTTTCTGATATTTTGCAATTGAAAATATGAACTAAAAACAATGAGCTATTGAAACTTTATGAGAGTCGGTAAAAAGTAATTGAGAAAAGTTAGTTAGAAATTTCCAGATGAAAACTTTTTAATTTAGATAAAATTTGACTTCTGATGGCTTGCTAATTTTTCATGAGTATAATAAATTAATTCAGCATGTATTGAGGTACTCATCATATGACGAGAAAATATTAGCACAATAGTTAGAGCTGAAACTTTATTAGTCAAAAACGTTCAGCCTTATATTTCTGAATCGTAAAAACTGATAAATTCGATTTCAATTATGTTTTTAGTTACCACAAAAGAATTGAAAAATGTATGGGTGTTTCATTGTTCGCTCAACTTAGGTCATCTTAACAATAAATTACAGTAATATGAACATACTTTAAAATTTATTAAAAGAAAAAATATTTTTAATTCAAACTTCTTACTTACCATCAAATCCTTTCAATAGGTCTATACAATAAATATTTACGATGTATCTTTATAATAGCTAATTTAATACTTTAACAGAAGTAATTTCAAATCAAAATATTATTTGTATTATCATCTATTTTTCTCAACGGACATATTCATATCTAACAAAAAATCTAATTAATGTGATTTGAAGATCAACAAAAATAAAATAAGTACTTTTTTTAAATAAAACGATAAGTTTCTTATCTCACAACAACAACGTTTAAAAACTATACTACTGTATCTGAAAATATTCAAATTCGAAATAATATCTTCCTATTTTATTTTTACTTTAAAATTTTTTTCTAACAAAAAAAAAAAATTTATTTCATTTTTTTTCTTTGTCGTGCTAATTCAAGTAAATTTGATATTAGACAAGCTACTGTTACTCGACCAACACCACCGGGAACTGGAGTTATCCATCGAGCAATACGTTTTACTTCTAAATAAATAAAATAAATTTTCTTTTAAAAAAAAAATTTCATTTAACAAAATTTACCATCAAAATCAACATCACCAACAAAACGTTTATTTTGCATTACAGCTTTATCTGTCCAACTCTTTGATATACCAACATCAATAACAATAGCACCTTCTTTAATCATACGATGTGTTACAAGTTCTAATCGAAAAAATAAAACAAAAAACAAAACAAAAAACAATAAATTTTACTTGGACGACCAACAGCTGATACAATAATATCAGCATGTTTACAATACCATGTTAAATTATTAATATGTGTATCACGATGACATATTGTTACAGTTGCATCACTAACTAAACTATTTTTTGAATCAGCTACTGTTTGACTAAGCATAAGTGCTAATGGTGTACCAACATATTTTGAACGTCCAATAACAACAATATCTTTTCCTTGTAATGGTTCATTTATTTCAAGTAATATTTCTCGAACAGCAGCTACAACAGGTATAGTTATTAATGATATTGATTTTTGTCTATATAAATTATAATTTAATATTGAATGAGCATCAACATCTTTATCTGAACGAATACAATTAATAAATTCTTCAGTTTTATCAATAATATGTAATGGTAATGGTAATTGAAGAATAATACCATCAACATTATCATCATTATTTAATTGTTGAATTGTATTTAATAAATTTAATGATGTTACATGCATTAAATGATTAATAACATGAAATTCAATACCTTAATTAAAGTATAGAAGAAGAAAAAAACATAGATATTAAAAAAAAATCAATAATATATTAACATAAAAACAACCGATACGTTCGGCGATACGTTGTTTATTTCGTACATATAATTTGCTAGATTCATTTCCACCAACAAGTATAGCAACAAGTTGTGGACGACGTTTATATTTTTCAATAAATTCTATACATTCATTTTGACATCTATTTAATATACGTTCAGCTATTGGTTTACCATAGAGTATATTATGTTTTTGTTGTATAGTTTGTGTAGAATCTGTAACAAGAAATCTGAATTGAATATATATATATGTTATTAGTTTAATTAAATAATTTTTTTATAATGAAGAAAATATTCAAACCTTGTTTGATAGATAGTTAATTTGAATAGATGTTTAATTGATAAACGAAACATTTTTTTGTCTTTTTGACTAATTTTTAAGAATGTTAAAACAAAAAAGAAGAGATTACAAGAGAACTTGATTGCTGATAAATATAAACCAGTCGATTAAATTCTTACGCCATCTGTCAAATGTCGTACTAGTACAATATATTGATAATATATTCTTTGTAAACATAAAAAATTTTGATTGTCTTGAAAATGGATTTCGTCAAGTTATGATTTTTGCTATTGTTGATTTAGTACTCAATGCAATCGAGATATTTTTTTGAAAAGAATAAATTTTGTCATGACAAGATTTAGATAGAAATCCATGAAAGTTATAATGCTTTAGTAATTCTCATTATATTCAAATGATTATTGCAGCGGAGTCAAGTACGTAACCAGATGAAACTTCGAGAAGACTCAGTCTTCTGTTCACTACAAACGATTGAATTTGGCTTAATCCTCATTTGAAAGTGTTATCAGAAGACTTCCGCTCGTTATTTAAACGTAAGAAAAGTTCTTCAATTGGTAAATCATTTTTGAGTCAGAACTAAAGATGTAGGTGACAGAGGTCCAAACAGGCTTCGTTTTTTAGGCCTGTACGGCCTGTCAAATTTTTCGAGCGTGTACAATAATGATGACAGAATAGAAACCAGAGATCCAATCAGGGTACTAGGGCTATTGCTTAACCCGATTCTGACCCGACTGTCCTATGACAGTCAGGTCAGGATCGGGTTGAACAATAGACCTAGTGCCCTCTTTGGGTCTATGGTTTCTAGTCTGTCATCATTATTGTACTCGCTCGAAAAACTTGACGAATTTTTTTCTAGTCTTGATCCCAGCTTAGAGAACATTGTTTCACAATTTATTTGCAATAAAATTTAAAAAGATTTGATATACTCATGTTTCGATTAATTCAGCCGACAAAATATTACTTATTTTAGTCCTGTTTTCATAATTTCACTTGAACTAATATGATTTATAACATCATTTATATTCTCATAAATTATCAACCTGTCGTTTATATACGGCTAAGATAATATTTTTACATCGTTCATGCATATTGTTCGATTCTAATTTTGAATTAAAATATGAAATTTGAAAATTGTTGACCCTTCATAACTTTTCGAGTTTGATTCTTCGAAATATTTGACTATTGAAATAAACTTTACATATCTTTCTTTTTGTTTTTTTTGTTTTTATTTTATCAAAATAAAACAGATTGTCTTAAGCGGAACTGTGCATTAACAAATAAAGTAATAGATAGCACCGTATATAAATACACGCATACAACACAAAAAACAGGAAGAAAAAAAAACAAATCAAAGTTTAGTTTTTAATTAAGACCAAAATCGTAAACGTGATTTTATTGAACGAAAACTTTCTTCAACAGATGAATCAGGTGATGAACAACGTACAAATCTTGGTAATGATGATTTACGTCGTCGTGATGGAGTATGATAAATAGCTGTTGTTAATAATGAAGATTGATTACTACTTGTTCGAAAAATTGTAGATATAGAACGATCTATAAAAAAATAAAAATATTGAATAGAAAATAAACAAAAAAAAAATATTCATTTATTTTTTCTTACGTTGTTTTGTAATAGAAGGAAATGATTTTGATTGATTAGTTAAATATTGTTGAGTTTTTAATGTTGATAATCGTGTATAAAAAGGAGTTTTTAAACTATTTTCTTTAACATATGCTCGTTCATATTCTAATGCATCCATCATTTGTATTTTATCTAATGGTGTACGATGTGAAAATAAATAAATTTTATTTTCAATATAATCATGTAAACGCCAAGAAAAAAATATATTAACAAGATTTTCTTCATCTAAATGAATATCTAAAATAAAACAAAAATAAAAATATTCAAAATTAATTTCATTTTACTTTTTCCATCACTAAGATCTTCAATTTTTGCATGATCTAAATCAGCTCGTCCAATATAAATCAATGTATTTCGTCGATCCTATTTTCCAAAATAAAAAATTTTCTTTCATCTTTTTTTTCTATTACTCAACATACTTTTCTACAAATAATAAGTACATGATCAAATAGAAATAAAATCACAGATTCTTTTTTTCCATTTTGATATAAATAAGCATCAGCACGACCAAAACCTTGTGTACTTGTTTCAAGAATATCTTTTCCCTAAAATTTTGAAAATTATATCTTTAAGTTATATCGAAAATATTATGATTGACATAATGATTCTCATTATACAGTGCTGGCCAAAAATATAAGACCAGCATATTTTTGGTTTTTTTTTCTACTACACCACGTATCTATCTCAAAGCCAAATAGTGATTTGAGTTGCTCTATCAAATCCATAATCAACCATATCTTCACAGATGAATTAAGACAGTAAAGGTCCGAAGAAACAAAAAGCAGCATTTTTCAGAGTCAGCTTTGAATAATGCCATCTTAAAGAACACAAAATTAGGGGTCGCCGCGCTTTCTACGACTTTTCCTTGCAAAATTACAAGCATCGCAAAAAGCGAAAAAATGCACTTTTCAGCGATTTTTTGAAAAATTTCACTTTTTTTTCGATGCTTGTAATTTTGCAAGGAAAAGTCGTAGAAAGCGCGGCGACCCCTAATTTTGCGTTCTTTAAGATGACACTATTCAAAGCCGACTCTGAAAAATGCTGGTTTTTGTCTTTTAGGACCTTTACTGTCTTAATTCATCTGTGAAGATATGGTTTATTATGGATTTAATAGAGCAACTCAAATCACTATTTGGCTTTGAGATAGATACGTGGTGTAGTAGACAAAAAAAAACAAAAATATACTGGTCTTATATTTTTGACCAGCACTGTATTTAAGAATTTTAATAAACAATATTTTTTTTTTATTTTACCTGCCAATTTTCGATTGTATGTTGCCATTTATGAATAATTTCAATATATTCCATATGTCTTTTTTGTTCGTTAATATAATTTGCAACATCACGCATTGCATTTAATGCTTGTTGAATATTTTTATAATCTTTATGTTCATATGAAGTATATTTTAATAATTCATTTAATTGTAATGGATATTGACAAATACGTTGAATTGGTGTTAGAAGAAAAGCATCTAATTTTAATTCAATCATATTTGCTTGTAATCGACATGTCTAAATAATTAATTTTTTTTTCAAAAAAAAAAAATTATTTAATTTACTTCAAAAAAATTTCGATAAATGTTATTATTTTCTAATTTTGATAATTCTAAACATGATAATGAATGATTAATACAATAATCTGAATATTTTTTAAATTCTTCTTTCTAAAAAAAAAGAAAATTATTTATATTTATATAATTTTAATCTTACATAAAGAAGAAAACATTTTCCAATAAGACTTTCATATGGATTTAATTCATTAATTGATAATTTTAATAATTGAAAAAATGTTTGTTGAAAATCATAAATTTCTTCAATATTTCCCATTAATAATTCAATTTGTTTTTCAGAAAATAAATCTCGACGTAAACGCATTTTTTTAATATAACCCTAAATAAATAAATATAAATCATAATCTTCTTATAATTAACTTACATCAACTAAATTTTTTAAATGTCCTATATAATCATATTCAGTTTTATAAATTTCTTTAATTATATTAGTACGTTTAATAAGATTTTCATTAGATATTTCTATATCATTATTAACTGATGATGTTTGATTACTTAATGAATGTGAATGACTTCGAAAACCTATTAAATAATAATAAAATATAGATTAAAAAAAAAAGCAAAGATTTTCTAACCAGAAGAAGATGAACATGGAGATGATAGATAATTAAGATTACAATTAGATATTATTGGAAGATCTTCATCAATTAATGTTGAAGAACATTGTTTACGACGTAATTGAATTGGATCAAAATGATGATTATTAGTTGTTGGCTTATAATGAATAAAAAAAAACAAAAACAAATATGCAAATATTTATTTAATGACAAAAGAAAATTTATAATTAAGATTTTTGTCAAAATGTGAAATAAGTAAGAAAACATAAATCTATGTCAATTCAATTTAATTTTTAGGCTTCTGACTTTTTTACAAAATCGATATTTTTCTCATTTTACAATGCAAATAAGATTCGTTTTTTTTTTTTTTGGTATTGATCAAGAAGCCAAAACTAGTCAAACGATAAAATTTCGTTCTCGTTTTTTTTTTTGTTTTGCTTGTCTTTCAATTTTCCCAGAAGCAATAAAAATGAACATATTGAGTGTTGTCTCATACATATAAAACATCTCATAAATGAAATATTTAGAAATTCGACACCTTTCATTTCACTTAATATATCATATTTTAATATCAACGAACATATATAATATTTTCAATATGGTTTCAAGTCTATCATGTTAATCTTGAGTTTAACTAACTTTTAATTTTTGTGTTACAGCTTGTTCAATAACAATCGGTCGAAATTTACATTCTTTAACATGTTGATAATGACGTCGATTTTGTTTATCTAATTTTCTTGTTGATATTTCTCCATCATTTTGTCGTTCCAATCGTTGATAATGTCTAAGTGCTTCGGATATAAGTGAAGAATTACCTAAGAAAAAGAAAATATATGTATATCGTATGAGAATGATTAATTATAAAGATTGCATGTATAATATAAGTCTTTCTTTTTGTTTTTTTATCTCAATAACAGATCATTGACATGATAAAGTATAATAGAAAAAAAAAATAAAAATGAAAATCTTAATGCGTAAAAAGCTTTCACTCTTATTTCATCACATTCCGACAGATACCAGGTGTCGTCTATCAAAAATAATTACATATTCATTACTCATGTTATATTTTCTTCTTCTTCTTCTTTAAAACAGTGAAAATGATTGTTGTTTTTTATTGATCAGGTATATAAGAAAATCTTAACTCATTAAATATCAATCATTCATCTTTTTTTGTTTTTTTTTTTTGTATTTTACATGGTTTTTTTTATTCTAAATATGATAAATGAGATAATAACCTTGACTGTTCTCTTGTATTTATTTCTTTTGAACAATAACATGCAGATGTTT